ATACTTGGCATCCAGATCGTACATGAACACCCTCAGAGGCTCCCCAGCGGCAGGACAACCGGGAGCGTCCTCCCGCACAGGGGACTCGAATATCACGAATCTCGACCTGTAATCGATCGTTCCATTGTAAATCAAAGTCCCTACTAGAAAAACCCCAAACACCAGAAAGCATACTAGGGTTCTATTGATCGAGTCCCTCACTCCCATTCCGAGCTCCGATTCCGCAACACGAACCGAACAGCCCCCCCGGCGCAATAATCACCGCAATATGTTCCGGCCAGATCTGAAACTGGGGGTGTCATGTCATTGATTGGGATGACGATGGCGATGATGATGAATTGAACGGAAATGGATTGTTTCGGAACCAGATTGTCCGCAAGGAATCGGTATATACTGCGATTTTTGGCTTTCAGATTGCAATTGATTGATCTTCGATTTGGATTTCCAGGGTTCCGGGGTGATTGGAAACTGGGGAGCCGCCGTGATCTTCTTTATGAAGGAAGGGGTTTTCACTTTTCACAGCAGCTACAGAGTACTTCTTCCATGTGGGGTTTTTTTTAACGTTTTATCAACATTTAAACTCAGCTGTGCATGCCAAAAGTGTCTGTCATTATTCGGGTTGGTTGAGTCACAACATCTATCCATGAAGCTTTTCTTGCTGTGTGAAAATGTTACTCACTTTTCTTGTTTTTTTTAAATGACACTCTTTAATTATAAATTGTAAAAAGAGTATATTTAATTAAGGGATATGTTAGGGTTACACCAAAGGTGTACCCCAAATGTACACCACTCCTCTCTTTACCATTAATTTTATTTTTTTTTATTTTTTACTCTTTTTGAAATTTTCTTGCCTTTTTTGTGTGGTGATGGAGGGGGTGAGGGATGTTTGGGGTACACTTTTGGTGTACCCCTAGCATTATTCTTTAATTAAATATAAATTTAATTTGATATTGTTTATCTTATTTATTCAGATTATATTTAATTTGTGGTAAAAAAATATTACTATTTGATTAGAGAAATGAGAACAAGAATTGTTTTTAAGATCAGTATTGGACACAAAATGACTTCTCTAAATATCATATTAAGTGTCATCACACATTATGCAGGCTTCACATATCTCCTAACAAAAGGAATTATTATAAAATGATTCTTTAACTACAAAGATGATATTGTAATTTTTAAAAGTTTAAGAACTATTTACCTACTTTTGAAAAAGTACAAAAACTATTTAGGCAAATAACTCTAATATTAATTTAGACTCGACAGAAAAATCAACTAAAATTTCTAAGTGATTATGTTTTTGTATGGACCGGATATGAATGAAAAAACTTTAGCTTACTTTAGTAAAAATTTGATATTTGATTTTTATCAATTAAATTATAGAGAAGGAATAAAAAATCAAAACTTTAGATCAAGATAATCTAATTGAGAAACAACAACTTTACCATAATGTCCTCTGCCCATAAGAGTAATTAAAGGGTGTCGAATGTACGCAAATCTTGAAGTTTTGTCGAACTTTATTGTGTTATTATATCATCTAAAAACAAAAAAAATGAATCTTTTTATTTCATAATAGAAATTAGTTTGTTTTTGTTATGCATCAAAACAAAGCCATGCTTAAAGAATTCTACCTGATATGAAATATTGCTCTATATTTGTGAAGATAATAAGATCAATTTTTTCTTGGAAATAACATTTTTGAGTAGCTATATATTTTGGATAAAATTTTAATCTTGTACATTAATTCTGAAAAAATTGACGTTAAAAAGATCTGATAATACTTTCAAAATGCAAACGCTAAAATAGTGTTTTGGGAACAAGACCAAACCTGCCGGTCCAACCGGTTGGACCGTGACCCAAACATAAATCCGGTCCGATTTAATGGATAAACTCGCTTTCTAATTGAGCTGCCTAAACCCGTCTGACTCAGAGAACCGGCTGACTCAAGTCGATCCGGTCAGTTCACGGGTTTGGGCGAAAACCAACTTTTTATTAAATTTTAATGTTTAAAAATTGAAAACGCATGTGGGAATCAAACCAAACACCATTGTTCCTATCGTAGTAAATGTTAGCCAAGTGAGCTAATGTAATGCCCCGAAAATAGGCCTATCAGAATTAATTAATTGATAATTAATTATTTACTGAGAAGGACCCAAAAATATATGATTTATAAAGTATGTCAATAAATAATGAAAGTTATATCATTGTGTAGAGTTTGATTGTCTGACTTCAACGGTTCAATCGGATTTCAATTTGGAGAAAGTTAGACCAAAAAGTGTACCCCAACTGGAACCAAAATTAGTCCCAGTCAGGGACTACACACCAAACGGTGACTTGTTCAATTATGCCAATTCCAAATTTGTCGCTCAATCACAGAAGCTGCAAACATGTGTCCTCTTCTTCTTCAATGGGCTATTTAAGGACAACCCAACTTCCTCATTTCCTTACCAAAACAACTCATTCTTCCTTTTATATTGTTCCTTGCTGAGAGTAGAGTGCAGTGGTGCTGTCATCTTTGTGTGAGGTCGGCGGAGTAGTGAGATATAGTCGCCGGAAGTTTCACCGGAAAATCTTCAAAACCTCCATTATGCTTCAAGGTAAGCCCGTAGATATATCTAATGACTAGAATGTTCATATAGGTCGTTTCTATGTTCATAAATGGTCATTTGGTTGAGTTTTGTGTTTGACATGTTTGAAGAACTACGAATCATAAACCATAAGTTTGATGTTAAAAATATGATTTAATGATTATAAAATGATCTATGAACCTTGGAGAACATCTCTATATAGTTTAATTGAAGTTCGGTGATTAAAAATGGTATTTCCAAAAAATGGACCGAAGGTTGAAGAAGATGAGCAGTAGCTGAGAAACAGCAGAATGAATCGATCATATTGATTGGATCGATCACCTGGAGTTCGTCTTTCACTGTCTGGATCGATCTAGACTACTGGATCGATCCCCCGAAATTCTGACCCGAAAATTTGTCTGAAAATGCTATTTTTGAGCTCTAAAATCCTATGTTTGATACCAATTGATTATGATCATTATAAAAATGATTCTTTATAATAAAAATGATGTTTTTAACAAATAAAAATGTTATGTGATGCATGACGGTAAGCTAGGGTGTTAACAATCAACGCTAAGCCGCTTATTGTTATTAGATATTATGATGATTGGTTGATTGTTGATTATAATGAATATTATGGATTAATAATGATAATTATTCTGAATGAAATGATGATTATGAATTATTAAACTAAATTACAAAATAAATGGATTAATGAAAAAATGAGTTGTATTGTTAAGGTTATCTAGAAGACTTCTAAGATATACCTCAAATTAGATTGGGCCTTGCAGGTATAAATATGTATATTCGGTGGCCTTGGGTAAAAACGTACGTATGGGATCCATAAACCAAACTAGACGAACTCGTTTGGGGATACCACCCAACCCGACAGTTAGTATTCTACTATTCGGTTTTTGGATTTGTACCTTAAGCGAAGTCTAGTTTAAGAGTTGGTAAATCAATCGGAATATATGTACCTTAAACTAATGACCTGGCTCAAGAATTGGATAGAAGTACTTTGAACTAGAATTAGTTTAAAAGTTGGTAAACATAAAAAAGTTTGGCATTAGACTAAGTATAGTTTAAGGATATTGTTGGATATTGAATATTGAATATGAATGTTGAATATTGAGATATTGAAATAAAAATATTGAGAATATCATGAATGAATTATATATTGTGTGCATGATATCAAATTGTTGTTTGTGAATTGAGATTCAATTTATGTGGATGTTCGACGCTTTAGATATGCTTACTCAGCTTCATCGCTGAGCGTGTAGTATGTTTTATTTTCTACACGTAGGTAGGCAGAATGAATGATTGACATGTTCCCGGCAGCAGAAGGGGCGAGATTGCCATGGTGGAATTTGTGATTTTATTGGCTCAAAAATCTAATATATACTTCCGTCGTCTTCATTTTGATTACAAATTTATTTTCTCTTTTTCTCGATAACTTTTGGTTATTTGTTTGTTTTCATTGATTATTTATAAAATAAAATATTTTTGTTCTCTCTTGTTTTGTAGAGCTTTTGATTTAGTTTTTTAATATATAATTTTTATTTTTATTAATGTACCAATTTGTAAATAAAAATGATTTCAAAAACTGTGAGATTTTATCCTGTTATTCCCATTTTATAATCAAAATGAAGACGGAAGAAGTAATATAAAATATTATTATTGTAAACATTATTGACAGGGTAGTTGACTCCCGGGTTGATCGATTCGACCGATCCAATCAGATTTTGAGAACATTGACTCAGTATCATTGACTTAGGGGCTGTTTGTTTCAGCCTCTTAATGGTTCAGATGTCTGAATGGTTCAGCACTTAATGATTCAAACTGTTTGTTTCAGCCTCTTAATGGTTCAGATGTCTGAATGGTTAAGAAATTTGCCTCTGAATGGTTAAGTATTATATAGAGTCTGAATGGTTAAGACCTCTTATCTGAATTGATCAGACATTTGCCTCTGAATAGTTAAGCAATATACTAGCTCTTAATGGTTCAGACCTCTTACTAGTTCAACACTTAATGGTTCAGACCTCTTACTGGTTCAGCACTTAATGGTTCAGACCTCTTACCGGTTCAGCACTTACCTATTCAGAAGTTGCCAAACAGCCCCTCAGTATCTTGTCCGGTGTCTGGTGATCCAGTCCAATTTTGAGAACATCCGCTAAAAAAAAGTTAAAAAACCAAGTGTTTTGGTTAAGAGGAATGCTAGGGGTACACCAAAGGGTTTGGTGTACCCCATTTGTCCCCCACCCCTTTCTCCACCATTCAATTTTATTTTATTTTTATTTTTTTTATTTTCTTGTCTTTTTTTTATGGTGATGGAGGGGGTGTGGGACAAATGGGTTACACCTTTGATGTACCCCTACCATTTTTCTTTGGTTGGTTAAAGTATGAATTTCAATTTGGTTGGATACGAATTACGAGGCACCCAACTGTTTTGGTCAAATTACACTGTCTATGCGTTTTTTTAAAGGTCTCTGTGTGTTTAATGGCGTCCTCAGGTAAATGATTACGACTCCAAGTGCTCGCTGATTTCAGTTGCATTTCTCCTGCCCCCGAGTAGATTCCCGCGATTGGAACCGGAGGCAGAAGCTTCTTCGCCGGTATGGCTCTGGGGTTGAGTTCCGGCGACGTCGCCGGATTCAAGGTGCTCTTCTCTCTCGTCGTCCTCTACGGACTCATATCACTTCTGGCCTACTCCGTTCACCAGCTGAAGTTCATCACGCCTCTCGGCATCGATGCCCCACTCGATCGATTCTCCGAAGCCAGGGCCATCGAACACGTCCGCGTCTTAGCGGAAGACATCGGCGGCCGCCAGGTCTGTGAACAACGCCACCATCTTCAATGATTTTTGGGTTCTATGAGACCTCTTCATCTCTGATTGATTTTCTGTTCATTCGGTTATACTAATTATAAAGTTAATATTAAGATGAAAGGATAATAATCTATGGCTAGATATGTGTTGTAACCAAATAATGTAGGAAGGGACTCCGGGCTTGAGACAAGCTGCTGAATATATAAAAACCCAGTTAGAAACCATGAAGGAGCGCGCTCAGCTTAATGTTCGGTGGTTTCTCATTTCCTTTTTCCTTATTTTTTGATAGACATATTTGTTATGCTATCTGAAGTTTATAAGCTTACAGATGTTCTTATTGTTGCAGAGTAGAGATAGAAGAGACCGTAGTAAACGGTTCTTTCAGCATGGTCTTTTTAGGTTACAGCATATCATTTGCTTATAGGAACCATACTAATATCATGATGAGGTATTTCCGAAAAAAAGGAAGAAAAAAACTTTAGCCCCCACACCCCCTCCTCCTCTTCCCAAATTCAAGATTAAATTGCAGGCGCAATGCCTTGGAGGATAAACACATATTGCGCATATGAGATCTAACTCTTATTTAAAATGAGTTGCAGAATCTCATCACTGCAATCAGGAGATAATGACCCATCAGTCTTAGTAAATGGCCACTTTGATACAACACCTGGTTCTCCAGGAGCTGGTGATTGCGGCTCATGCGTTGGTAGGTTTTGGGGCGTGTTGTCTCTTTCATTGGGGGCAATAATCTTGGTTTTGTATCTTGATTGTTTTTTCACTTCTTTTGCCAGCTGCATTACTTGAATCAGCCAGACTTACAATCGATTCGGGCTGGGTTCCTCCTCGACCACTTATATTTCTATTCAATGGTGCAGAAGAACTATTCATGCTGGTAACAATTCCTTGAGTAAATTTAATTTGACTATAGGAGTTTCTTTACTTGTTGCTATCGAACATGTTACCCATCTTACCAATTTTATGTGTCAGCTGAATGACAAAGATACAGTTCTTTTGTTTGTTTGAATTTGAATAACGTATGTTCTTGATAAATTTGCAATAATACAACTTTGTAACTTACATCCTGATTGCCTGGTCTTCTAGTTCAATATTCTTACTTTTCAGTGGTAGATATAAATATGATCCAATAATTATATATATGCTCTTTTGTTATATTGAAATGTTAAAATTGAGTATAATATCCATTTTACATTTTATTGAATGGGTTTAAGTTACCTTTTACTCCATAATTATTTTAAAAGCATCATACTGCTACAACAACAACAACAACAATACCCCAATGCCTCAAAAGCTCCTGCCTATTGTGGGATAAGGGGGTCGGATGTACGCAACATGACCCCTATGTTTAAAACATTGAGCAACTGTGTCCAGATGACCCACGATAAGTGGCAAAAGTTGCATTGACTAACTGCTACTTCACTATCAAAAGAAGCTATTTAAACGAGCTACCAATATTTTGGAAAAATAGCGAATCCTTGGCTCCATAAGAGATGATAGAAAATTTGTGCGTTAATGTGTTATTATCTGATGTGTAATACTTAATTTTCTTTTTAAAAGGGAAGTCCCTTTTTCTTTTTTCTTTTTGTTACAAGATCTCATCAAAGAGGCCAGAATTGGCACTTTTGTGAAAGTTGTTGCATATATAATGGGGCTACAAATGATTTTTGCAAAAATGGGCATGATTATTTAATATTTTACTAATTTACCTATTTTTGCTTTTTTTTTGCTTTCAGGGTTCACATGGGTTCATTACATCACATAGATGGCGTGATACAATTGGAGCATTCATAAATGTTGAGGCTTCTGGAGTAGGGGGCCCTGGTAAGTAATTGATTGCTTATTATTTCCACATATTTGAAGCTAAGGTTACTCGTTTGTCCTTTTGAAACGGAAATTGAACCTAAGGAGGCTTTAATTTTTTTAAATATGGGTGATGTTTTGTATTGCAATGTCTAAATAGGATATGCATGTAGAGTAGTTTCAAGATATTCTTGAGATTGCCATTTGTCAACACAGTTAGAAATTGCAGCTAAACGCCTAAACTCATATACTCTTCTTGGGTTCAGCAATCTGCATTACGAAGGGCTTTAATGTTCATTTCTCACTTCTTCCTTTAGAGTGGAAGTGTGGAATACATGCTGATTGTTTATGCATGTTTTTCACTTAACAGATTTGGTATGCCAATCTGGACCTGGATCTTGGCCATCACAAGTCTATGCACAGGCAGCTTTATATCCTACCGCAAATAGTGCAACTCAGGTTTTGGAATTATGTTGCATTCCATAAATAAAGTGATTGGATTTATTTAGCTTTCTTGCCTTGTGGATGGTTGTTCGGGTAGCTCTTCATATTTAGCACAAGTCTTTGTTACCTTATAATTTAAAAAAAATCCTTTAAATAGGAAGGTATTTTGTAATTGAAAAGCAAGCAGGAAATGGAATAATCTTTCTCATGAAGTCTTATTCCCTGCAACGTTTTCTCTTCATATCCCCCCGCCCCACTTGCTCTTCTACACAATTCTTTGGCCAGCCATCATATGGAACAAAAAGGTTCTTTCTGCTGCTCATAGCCCCATAATGCACAGTTTATGCTGTGATCATACCAACATGGTTCCTGTTGCTGGGATTATGACTTATGAGCATTGACATAACTGTGTATCCCTGGCTGCTTTCGAAGCATGCAGGAATCTGTCCTTGCTGGCTTTAGCAGACAAAATTTGGAGTCTCTCCTCCTCTGTAGCCTCTCTTTCAGCAATACTTACACAACCCGCAACACTTGCTGATCTGGAGAAGAGGGTGAAACAACATTTGATTGCTCAAGGTAAATCCTCAATCCCCGAAACCGTGCACCAGCTGTTATCCACAGCCAACCCCACGACGTTCCTAAACAATTTAACAACATGAAGTTCCACCTTCAACACCATCAGACACCCTTTCTTTTCTACCTCCACAACTTTTACTGGCAATGCTGCTCGCACTGCCTCCAGCACACCATCTACAGTGCTGTCTCCCCCATCTAGAAAAATGCCAAAACTTGATCTTCTAGGATCTTCTTTTATCAGCCAAATTGTTTCATTTGACCATTGTCTTGCATGATTTTTCTAAGGGATGTTGTTAACCTTCTCTGCAGTCCACCACTGCAACAAACCTTAAATCTTCTCCAAAAAACAACCACTGATACTTTCTACTTGTGCAATCATTTAGTGCCATGTTCGAGTTTTCAAGATCGTAGACACGTGTAATTTAGTGATGGTGCATGGTTTGATGTATTTAATTTCCTTTTTTGTTGTATGTATAATTATTTGAGCATCTTTTAGTATCAGTATTTTTTCCCTTTTTAAACTACAATTAATTATGAAGGCATTTTGTAACCGAAAGACAAGTTGGAATTGAATAAAGATATTCTTAGAAGCTTGATTCCATCCAACTCTTTTCCCTCTTCCTTTGTGCTGGATGTGTCTCTGACCAGCCACTGTAGGCTGGAGGAAAGCTCATTCACCATCTTCTGCTACCTCTCATAGGCTTGTAATAGCGTAGCATTACTGATAATACGTCAAACTACCTCACTAAATAATTCCCTTTTTAGAATAGTTGCTTTTTCAGAAAAAATTGACCAGTATTTATCAAAACCTTCTATTAATGTTTTTTTACAGGATGTTTTTGGGTTCGTTCCTGGCGATACAGATTACAGGATGTTTGCTCAAGACTATGGAAATATTCCAGGACTGGATGTCATCTTCCTCCTAGGGGGATATTTTTATCATACGTCCTCTGATACTGTTGAAAGACTATTGTATGCATCACAATGCTATTTCGGTACAGTTTCATTCAATTGAAATTTTTAGATTTTTGATTTAGTACTTGATCTGATGCATCATTTTTAAACCAGGCCTGGAAGCATGCAGTTGCGTGGGGAAAATTTGTTCAGTCTGATCAAAGCCTTCTCCAACTCAACTGAACTTCGGAATGCACATCAGCGCAAAGTGCATGCATTCTCTCAACAGGGTTTAGCTGATGAACATGCAGTTTACTTTGATTTTTTTTCTTGGGTTTTGGTATGTCATGAACTCTATTCTCTAATTTTGGATGCTCATACTTTTCATTCATTTTGTTTAGCACTTTGCTGTATTGAGTATTTTTTTCAGAGATTAATTGTGGTCCCATGGACATCTCATTGTTTTGAATGTGTTCAAATAATCCAGATACTATACTCTAGAAAGGTAGCCGTCCTGCTTCATAGTATTCCTCTTGCTATCTTTTTTCTTATGCCACATCTCTTACGCTTTCAAGCTTGGGGATTGATTAGTTCTTCTGCAACCTTTTTTGATTTTATTAAGGGTAATGCCATTCTTAAATCAAGAATCACCAAATTTTATTTGAAAAGACCTCAGATTATTTGATTTTCTTGTTATATAATGTAAGGCAATTTTTTTGTCATTGTACAGGGATGATATATCATGTGGCTGGGATTGTTCTAGCCATTGTAATTCCTGTAATTATTGCTGTTTTGAACTTGTTTTTTTCTGGTCATTCAATGAACTGGTACGATTTTGATACTTGATGGCATTTACTTTTACTAGCAATTAGCAAATTAAACCACCATGATCTTCAACCTTAACCTATGCCTATTCTGTTCTTAAAACATTAGTAATTGATCAGCTTGAAATATCTAAATAATTAGTTTTCAAACCATCTTTATTATGATTTTTAGTCTGCAAAATATTTTCCATTTGGGATATTTGTCTCTATATATTTCTTTCATAAATGTAGGTTTGCAAGTCCATACCTAGCATTTGGGATCTTTGTACCCTTCTCACTTATTGGATTGTTGATCCCCCAGTTTGTTTGTAGAGATTTTCCTCTCAGTCAGAATCTCTCTCATGGAATATCATATCAGGTACTGTTTTACTTTTCAGGTGCAAGCAGTTATCATTCTTTATGAACCTGGCTTATCAATTATTACAGCAATTTTACTTGCTTATCATCTAGCAAGTTTTTGTGCAGGAATTGGTTACCGAAGCTAGATTTTGGGGAGCTTTTGGATTTTACTCCATAGTTACATTGGTGTGTAGCCAGTCTTTGGCGTTCTTTTGTTTTGCCACCTCTGAACTAGGAAGTGTTAGATAGTACATGCTTTCTTACACATCCACAGAAAATATGGCTAATTGAGTTTCTCTAAACAGGCATACATTGTAGCTGGGCTTAATGGAGGCTTCATGACTTTTCTAATCCTAGTTTTCATGATTCCAGCTTGGATTTCCTTCTTCCTATGCAGCAAGGCTTTTGGCCATGAATCACTCAGGTAGAAACATGAAAGTGAAATTCCTTCTATTAACAGGCCATTCATGATGTGGCAATATTTTTCCTCTTTCTGTCCCATTTTGTGTCATTAACCTGCTAGGCCATCTTATTGTGGATGAAATTAAATGTATTCTTCATTTGACATAATTTGCGTTATTTATTCATACTTCAGTACTTAATAGATGGGCTTCAAATTCTATTACTGGCTCATAAAGAGTGAGCAAACCCGTTATGGGTTTTGATATCTCTGATATAGTGTTTCTGAAATTATTGTTTTGTAAACCAAAACAAGGATTCAGTTTTCAAATCGGAGATATGGAAACTCCCCATTTACGGAGCTTTTTGATATCTCCATTCATCCACCGGTTTCAATATTGATAGCGGATTTCAGGTCCTGGTCATATTTCCATCTCCACTTCTCAGACTTTGATCAATGAGAATGGCAGCTCTGTCTCCACTAGCGGTGTCGGCGGCCCTCTCCAAAGCAGTGGCAGCAACTGCGACGTTGACTCTGCCACCAGAGTGCCGGCGACGACACCGACTTAGCCTCCAAGAAGGGCGGCGACAACTACGACTCAGCCTCTAGAAGCGGCAGTGGTGATGGCCAAGTCTCCTCTGACCAGCGGGGGATCTGGTCTCTGTCTTGTTCATATGCATAATCAGTGCTTAGTTTCCTTTATATTCATCCGCTAGGAAATCCGACAAATGCATGCCGCTCACTAATTTTCTACAGATTCTATCAAATAGAGAATTTGTTTCAAGTTGTGTGAACCTCAAAGCCCTAATTGTGGAATTTTTTGTTTCTTATGGTTTCAGTTGATCAAGCTCTGGGAGATGAAAAAGTATTATTAAAATAGAAACAGAAATTAATAAAAATTGGAAAGCCTCGTTTCTCATTTGCTCACCAAACATTTATGTGTATGATTTGATTTCATATATATTTTCTCCAATCACTTTTGACTCAGATTTCAAAACCCATATCTTTTCTTCCAGATATCAAAACCCATATCTTATCATATCTCCAAAACTCACCAAACATGCATTGTGGGTGTTAAAGTTGTTCTCCATTAGACATTTATTTGCTCCCCTGATGAGCTATATATTCTATTTCTGGTTTTATCTACCAAACTGCTGTACCTTATTCTTCCAAAGAGTGAACAATGCCTTTTAGCTTGCTTCTTGAATATACTTTATATTTTGGCTTTTTATCGAAGTTATTTTTGCCAGATCAACTGCATCTTATGTAATCTCTTTGATTCCCTGTCTGATGTACGCGGTTTACTTCGGCGGGTTTCTGATCATTTTTGTGCTTGAGAAAATGGGCATGTCGGGCTCTCATCCTTCTCCATATGGTTAGTCTAAGTGTCTAACCTACTGGTTCACATTGAGTTAGTCACGATAACTATGTTTAAATGTCAGCTTTTATGATTTCATTGTCTGATGTGAGAATGGCAAATGCTTGCAGGCAATTTTATTCCTGATGTTCTAGTAGCTGCTGTGATTGGAGTTGTAAGTAGTTGGTGTATTGGGCCTCTTATACCTGTTGTTGGCCAACATTTAGCTAGACAATCCATAATGCAATTATTGCTGCAAGTTGGTATCCTTTCCTTGGCCGTGTCATCACAATTCTTTCCATACAGCACTGAGGCGCCTAAAAGAGTTGTTTTTCAACATACAATTTGGAATGCAGGTTTTTGAACTATAGCCTGCATTTTTGTAGTATTGTCTCTCTGTAGCTCATTGCCTTAATGCATTAGTTTGTTGCAGCCACATGTTTGCTTGTGTCTTTCATGCTCTCGCCTTTGTCATTATTTTCTTTTACCTGTTTTGTTGTATTCCTTTTGTTTTGAGCCTGAGGTCTCTTGGAAACCTCTCTACTTCCACGGGGTAAGGTCTACGTACACTCGCCCTCCCAGGTCCCAACCTTGTGATATTTTACTGGGTTTTTGTTGTTTCCTCGTAGCTCTAAAATTACCTCACGACATAAACAATAGTGAAAAGCAAATTCTACATCTTTGCAGATAAACCATGGTCAGCATGTTGAAAATCTTGAAAATGGATCATTGTTGTGAATATCTTCATTATGGATAAGTGGTGCAGATATTTAACCAAAGTTTCCATTAAAACTCCATGCCTTAGTATTTTATTAACAATTGTACCATGTGTTTGTTTGTATAAGAAGCTTCAATCAGTATTTCCTAATGTCATGATCTCTTATGCATGTTTAAATGTGCTGTAGACTGTAATCTGGGACTGTTTTGTACTTTAATGATCTGTCTTGTTATTCTGCTAGATTCCAGTCAAATTCTGAGCTCTAGTTATGACTTTGCCACAACTGATTCCAACTCTATGCTTTTTGTATTCAAACATGCACCTGAATTGACAAGGGAACTGCATACCGATACAAATTTTTCTTTTCACAGTGTTGATAAGGCTCACCCCGATGATTGGATGGTAATTAATTTTGTCATTTTTTTGCCGATGCATTAACTTGTTTCAAGAAACTACAATCATTACTCGCCTGATTTTTAATCGCCGTGTTGTGTCTTTACTCTAGTTTAGCTTGAAACTGGGGCAGTACAAGCATGATTCACTAGTTGTACAATCTACATTTGATTTTCCTTTGCAATGAATTCAAGAATGGAAAATTACATTTTTGCCATTGAGCTGTGTACAACTTGTTTTACCCTTGGTTGTCTACTTCTACCAATTGATCCAGATTTGCAACATTGTTGGCACTCCAAGTTCCTGATATCATGTTTTAGCCTCAAGCCCAGTCTACCAGTTCTTAATTCCTCAAGTCTGAAAAAAAAATCAACCCAGACCCCCTGTTTGAAGAATGACTCATACATTTCACAGAAGACATTAGAGATTTTAGAGTATAAGGCCATAAATTCGATAATGTGACATATCTTATGACCTATTTGGTGAGTGAAACAGTGTTGGAAAGGAATGTGTTTTGAAACCATGAAGGCATCGATCGGGTTTTGAAATGTGGAACAAAAGTTTTTGGCGAACAGTTGGAATAGAATCAAATGAAACCATTTTTTTTAAGTTAATGACAACGATGGTGGTTGAGGCAACACCAGTGGTGGTGGAGGAAATCATTTTCACTGGTTGATATCACTTGATTTCAGGGGATATCCAGACACCCTTTTTAGGCGGGGGTTCACATATCGGGGATATAAAACTCAACATCTAAAATGCTTCGCCAAACACTCGAGAAAGGGCCTTGATTCCTTGGGTATCAGAACTCATATATGTTTCACTCACCAAACAAGCCCTTAGGTTATCTATAAAAGTTGACAACCAAGGTCCTAAATGTTTAATCATGCACAAAGGACCAAACTTGGTATTTTCCTTCAAAGAGTTTAAATTTACTTGTATGTATCTGGAATTCCTTTCACATATTGTAGCAGTATATTACAATATTTCTTCAGCTAGTTTTTCAGTGAAATCAATATATGTGGCTCTAATGTTGTTTCTTTGCAGGGAATTTTCCCAGTATCTTTCCTCTTTTCAACAAGTTTTAAGTTTCCTGCAAAGCCTGAGTTTATCATGAATCAGTACAAAAGCTTCCCAGTTTTATTCAATCACAAGCCGCATGAGCTTCTCAGTGGGGGCTATCGTAGAATATACTTGGAGTTTTCTTTGGGGTAAATTATACATGACCATTGAATCTCATGTGACCTTTAGCCTTAAGATTGATTTTAATCCTTGGAACATATTTTAGTTCACATCTGTCTTTCTGATTGGGAATTTCTTATTGATAAATTAGTCTCCTAACTTGCATTATTAATTGCCTCACATGCTAACTTACATGGTTAAAGTATTTAGTTCATGAACTTATGTTTTGCAAGATTGGTTCTATGCAATTGATTTGTGACAATTTAACAGCTTTGTGCATTGCTTTAAATCGTGTCTTTAATGAGGGACTGAACATGTTATGATTGATATTCACCAATATATTGATGATACTAGTTGCAAGATATCAGTGTTATATTAGAATTCCGCTTTCTTAGTTTCTCTTCTATTTAATATTCTTAAATCTTATCTTTTTGTCTGCATATAGTTCCACAAAGGAGGTGTGGGTTTCAGTTCTTAATATTACAGGTCCATTATTCAGATGGTCTTTTGCAAACAACAGACTTCCAGGTAACATACACATATGAATGAAGTTCTTTGTTTTTCTTGTTGGTTCTGAATCATTATGGCTTTTTTTCAGCTCCAGAAAAAAATGGTGATGGCCCTCCTTCATATATTTGTAGATTAAGTGGTGCAAGTAGTGAGAACTGGACATTCTGGTTAGAGGTAATTAAACCTTTATGGATGTGTTGAGTTTTTAGTTTTGGAGGGTTGATGATTTATTTGTGATGTAATGAGTATTTTACTCATCATTTTTTTATTATTACCAAATTGAACTCCCTTCGTCCCCTTTTTATTTTGACATTTTCCTTTTTAGACTGTCCCTATTAATCTTCCTCTTTTAAAAAAAGAATTGTGTGGTTCATATTGATCATTTTCTTTTCTAAATAAATCTCTACCACATAATTTCATATTTTGAAACTCTGCACAAAAGTGGGAACTTTACATAGAGATGGAGGAAGTATTCAACATACTACATACTCCGTATTTTCTCTGTTGAGTTACTCGTATCTGCACCTTAGTGAGATAGAAGTTGAAAGAATTGGTCATATTCCAAGATTTGCAACTTGATTTTTTAATATCAATCTTGTAACGAAACATGGCATGATGGCAATGAAAAATATCTCAATGCATTGTTGTCTAATTTTGTTTTCCATTCATGTGAAGATAGCCAGTGTTAGATCGTAGATGACTATTTTAGATTTTTCATCTCATTATTCCTTATGAAGATTTGAGACATTCGGCGTAAAACATTTCCACTTTTTCATGAATTTAAAGTGCTAAAGAATTTATACAATTAATTAGCACTGCAAATGAATACCACCAACCCGACTTGTAGGGACTAGGGATTAAGATGTTGATAATGATGCTGCCCATAGAAGCTAATAATTGACTCATTGGAGAAAGATAATGAAGGGAATGTATTTGCTTATATTTTGTTTCCTATAATAAATTATCTTCTTAGGATGTTACTTGATCATTCGGGAATACATTTACAATCACACACTATGAATACAACAACCTATGCCGTGAAGTCCTACCAGTGTCGTCTGGTGGGGTGGGCGTATGAAGACCTTGCACTCTTCGTAGTGGGGTAAAATTGTTCCCAAAAGAACTCCGATTCAAAAAAGAAAAGAAAACAAATTAGCTCTGGATCACAAGTAAAGGTAAAACACATTAGGAATTGGAGGATGCAAATCTAGCTATGAACACACACAAAACCACCTCGCTACACCTCGGTCCAAGCCCAACGACTCTATGAATTTAGTCCTTACCTTCCAAGGAATCCTTTTTAAGGTCATTTTCTCGGTCGGTTGTGAAAGTCTCATGTCATGTCTGATCACCTTACTGCAATTCATCTTTAGCCTACATCTATCTCTCCTTAAGAATTAAAATAACTGCCGCCAACCTCTCACACCTGCCACATAAAATAATACTCTGCCTATGCACATATCCAAACCATTTCAGTCTTGATTTACACACCTTTCCCTCTATAGAAGCTAAGACCATGTTCTCTTCACCTAATCTGATCTGGTCTGATCTAAATGTAGTTATATTTAAAACTATTTGTGATCTGAATCTGATCAAATTCCAATAAGAATAAGTAATAAGTAAAACAATAAGTCGGGGAGAACATGGCCTAAATCCACCTTGTCCCGTTTATCATTGTTTTGTAACATAGTCCTAATCCTAGACTCCTAGTATGTCTGCACATCCCACCTTAGCTTCATATGAATTTGGTTGTGAATAGGTGTATAATCACATAATACTTGTAATTTCTCATCCAATAATTATGACAAGGATAAACTTGTCTAATTATTACTCCATCCATATTGCTTATAGATCTCACTTTAATGTTTTTTTTTGTTCTATAATTAGCAACAACAACCAAGTTAGAGGGTGGGTGTACGCCGACCTTGCTCCTACTCAAAAGTAGGGAGGCTGCTTTTTAGAGACCCCCTGGCAGCAAAAATAATAAAAGATAATAATATTAGCAATAGATCTCATGAGATACATAATAAAGAAGAAAAAGCACATTAAGTTCAAAGCACACAAAGGCAAAGAGCAAAGTAATGTTAACAAAGAGTACCAAGCATATAAGGCATACAAAGAACATAAAAAGTCCAAAAAACTACCACCCAGTCCAAAGCGCCTACCCAACTACTCTATTCATAACTCTTCAAATGCTCCCAAGGTCATATCCTCAGTAAGGGAAGGAAGTCTTATGTCTTATTTAATGGCCTCCGTCCAATTCTTCGTAGGTCACCCGTTCCCCTACTCTCACCCACCAACGCAAGCCTCTTGCATCTCCGCACTAGGGCATCAACATTCAGCCGCCTCAGATGCCCAAACCACCCCCACATAGATTTTCGTAGCTTATCTTCCACATACCCCATGCCGACGTGTCCTCAAATAATCTCATTTCGAATCATATCCAACCTCATCTGCTCACACATCCATTGTAACATCTGCATCTCTGCAACATGCAATCGACAAGCGTGGATTTTCTTAACTACCCAACACTTTACACCATACAACACAGTTGGTCTGACTACGGCTTTCATCCCGAAAACTTTTTATCGCACCGAACCTCTAAAGCCAGCCTTCACTTATCCCAAGCCGCTCCAACACAATTGCAACATCCTCCTCCAACCTCCCATCCGCCTGAATGACCGAGCCAAGATACCGAAACTTTTGTAACTTAGGCGCAGAATGATAGTCAATCCTAACTTCCACCCATGATGCTGTTTCCGACTACTAAAATAACATTCCATGTATTCTGTCTTGGTCATATTAATCCTTTGGATTCGAGGGAAAGTCGCAAAAGTTCCAACATGTTGTTTAGTCTCTCGCGGGTGTCGTCGATCAACCCAATATCGTCAACAAAACGCATGCACCACGGGGCTTCTCCTTGAATTCCAAGCGAACAAGAAAGGGCCATGGGCAGACCCTTGGTGTAGCACCACCTCTTCGGGGAAAGGCTCAGAGTCACTATGATAGTCTTTATCCTAGTCCTTGCTTAATTGTGCATTCTGGTCTTTTAAAAACTCCATAATTTTTTTCCTTTTTCCTATTTATCTTTTTATGATCGACATGACAAACTATTTGCACATTTGTTAGGAAAATTGGGAATAAAACACTACAAAGTACGATTGGACAAAAACACTACGAACTATGAAATTGGCCAGGGTATAACCAAACATCACCACTCTTGGCCAAAAAACAATATAAATGTCACCGGAGTACGCCGGAATACGAGAGTCCTTATAAATACTCCTTTTATAAACATTTTATAGTTTTTTGTTGAATTTCTCATACTTGGTATTTGGTATTTGTACGTACTCTCAGCCCCATAAAAAGTACATCAGCTATGTACTATGTAGTATGTATGTCTCATTAATATACTTTATTTCTATTCATGTTCATCATTGAAGTTTCATATCATTGGTTCATGAAATTTAATAATCATCAAATCTAAATTCATTATTTAGAATATCTTCATAGATTCGTGATATATTATTTTTGATAAAATGTTATTTTATCACGGATACATGAAATTATTTTAAATTCTGAACCAAGATTTCACATATTCTAGAACTTAACTAGTTGTAGATCAGCGGTGAAAAAATCACATAAAACAAATCTTGACAATTTTTTAATCATTGGTGAAATTTTGTTGTCATAAAAGTGATTACAAATCAAGTTAACGGATGGGGTATACATATCTTTTGTGGGAGTGAGATCGGATAAAACACTATCAACTACGATGGGTTGGACCAAAAAATTTGTAGTATGTTTGTATGAGGGAGTATGTATCTGAATTCTTGAATTCTATTATACTCTGGCAACATGCATACTGTTTTTGGCCAATGAAGGTGATAGTTTGTTATATCAGTATAGGGAGATTAGGATTACAATGGTTACACGCCTTATATAATGGGAACCATACATTGTTGGTTGGCATGCCAATGTAATGGGAACCCATATATTGATGTGTTCTTTGGTTGGCATGCCAATTGTCTCAAATAGAATAGGACTGAGGGTGTGGTAAAAAGTGTTGCAAAATACATTGGATATATGTGTGGGTGGTTGATAAAAGACCGTTTATAAAATATTATCGCCTTAGAAAAATAGAAATTTCATAAAACTTTTTTAGATTTGTAGGAATGTTACAATAAAGTGCCATGTGGATTACAACCAACATAAGTGTATCACAAAAACATATTTATATACTTGAAGATATGCATTGAGAGGCTAATGCAAATGTTAGAATTCGTGGAGAGGTTATGTTAAGGATCAGACTACGCCAATTCATATTGCCACTGTTTTGAATGAAGTAAGCATGAGTATTCAATATTGTGGTGCATGTTGTTTGTGAATGATGTCTTGCTAGTTTGTGAATGTAAAGATGTTGAGAGAGTTTGAAAGTCCAATTTTGTTGATGAAAAAAGAAAAGTAGAAGACTTTCTTAGAGGCTTATAGAATTTAGGATGAGGTAAGGGTCACTAGACTGGGCACTGGGCATTGGACATGAATCACATCAAAAGATTGAATTCAATCGGTTACTTAGTTCAACTCAAAAGCTTATATCCTGATTACTCTTCTCTTCAACTTTTGATGTCGAATACTTTAACACTATCGCTCAAGTAGACAACCAAGTCATTTTGAATGAAACCAGATGACCTCTTCCAAATGGACTTTCTTCCCCTTAAAATTTTAAACCAATATTTAAGAATGCAGCGGCAAGACCTATATGACCATGAGTGGTTGGGTATGAACTTCCAGGCAAACAATCGGGTTAAATGGGCCACAACTAGGAGGGAACGTCTAGATGGATACTTGACAAACGAGGTGGGCCAAAACTGGCTTATGATACCGTGATAGAATTTAGAATGGGGTAAGGGTCACTAGATATGGCTATAAGACATTTGGACTAAACCACATTAAAAGATTGAATCTAATTGATTACTTTGTTCAACTCCAGAGCTTATATACCGAATACTTTTCTCTTCAACTTCTGATGTGGGATACTTTAACAGAGGCCATACCCACTTCACAAGACTAAAAGAAGTTGATTAGAAGATTCCATAAAGACTTATTTAATGATGTTCCCTACGAATTTATCTCTCTCTTTGTTCATAAAAGTTTCTGCTCACTTGTGAGATTCCGTCCGACCTGTGGTCAGGGAGGATGTTCATAAGGGCTCTCTCTCTCTGTAGCCTCACAAAGAGAAAAGCGTCAATAATGCCGCTGTCCTAATCTCTTGTCTACAAGGTGTGTTTAAGATCTCATAGAATCTTGAATCAGTTAATTCATTTTGTTCTGGAGCATCTCAGTTTATTTTACTCCTCTTGCTATACAAATCACAAAAATTATTTATGCCTTTTTGATCTCCTTGTGAGGAAAGGAATATGTTGATACAGAAAATGCATCTCTTCCAAACAAATTTTTTCACATACTTCTCACTTTTCAACCTTTCTTTGATTCTGTAAGAGACATTGAAGTTTTTTATGGGACGGAGGGAGTATTTTATTATAGGGTAGTTTTGTAACAAGCCTGGATCATATAGAGTTTGCTTATATATACATATATATAAATATATATGTGTGTGTGTGTGTGTGGACGTTCCTCCTACAGCCCCCTAAATCCAAACTCTTTTTTATTTTCTGTTTCACTTTCTTCTTCGGAAATGCATGTGTGTGTGTGTGTGCTATTCACTGCTGCATTTCCTTATCTTTCTTTTTTTTTCTTCGATAAATTGTGAGTAGTCAATACTCCCTCTTCGATAAATTATTTCAGCCTTCATTAAATTTCTTTTCTTTTTCTCCGTATAAATTTAATTTTTTGGTTAGTATTGATTTAAGATTTTGTTTCTACTGTTCATTACTCACTTCTACTTTTTTTGTATTAGCTTTTTGCATTGTTTTATTTTGGCTTATGCATTTTCTTACTCCCTATTAATTACTTCATTTTTTAAAATTTGTAAAGTTTAAAGATAGTGAGAAAAACAATAGTATATTGTAGGAATATTCTTTTGAGTTTGGGTTTGGTGTAATGGATTGGATATGAATTACTATTTGATTTGGTATTTACTGCATTTTGGGTTTGAGTTTGTTGGATATGATTGTAGATGGTTAAGAGAGGAATGTGGTGAGGCACTTATTAGAAAGTAAGAGTTAACTTTTTGTTGGACCACCAAAAAAAGTGTGAAATTTATTTAGGAGTGGAAGGACTTTAATTTTTTTAATGCACCATTCCAATTATACTTCAGCTCATTTTGCAATTTCAGTCCTATTTTCAGTAATTCCAACCAAATGGCTGCTCATCTTATTTACTTTAAAGATTCAGAAGATGTCTTCTTTTGTATCCTTTGAAATGATGAACGAAACACAGTAATATCATGATCTACTTGCTACCACAATTCACTGCCAATAAGCTGCCTTGTAGAGAACTGAGAACTTGTCATCATGTGTTTTGTGTTTCCTTTTTTCGTTCCTGATTGTGTTTCGTAGAAAGTTACCGCACAGTTTAAATGACCTATAATATTTTGGAGAACAAGTCAAAACTCCAAAAGTCTATCCATGTTGTGAGAATTAGATTGGAGGTTTTTATTGTATACAATGAAAACATCACGCTCAGTATAATGCCACCAACCTCTTTGGGGTATGGCGTATCAAGATTTACACAACTTTACCCCATTAAGAATTAGAGGTTGTTTCTTTTAGACCCCTTATTTCTATCATCTCCAATTGAGCCAAATTCACCTTTTTTTGCTCTGGGGTATGATGGAATAAAGCAAAATGACTCTTTAAATTGTGTGCTTCTTTCAATAGTGATGTAGCAGTTACTCAGTTAGTCAATGCAACTCATGACGCTCATCATGGGTCATTTAGAAACAGCCGCTTTATATATTAAACATAGCGGTCTGGCTGCATACATCTGGCCCCCCTTACCCCGTAATAGGTGGGAGCCTTTGAGGCATTGGGGAGATGTTTTTCTATTCGACCATTGATGCATTGCTGCATTTTCTGCCCAAAATTTCATTAAACGTAAGAAGCAAGGGAGGTTTAATGTGTCATTTTGAGTTAGTTCATTATCTACTTGAAGTTGAAACATTGTCAAGAAGTGATTCCTTTAGCTCCCTTCATTAGCAATGGACATGTGGGAATTTCATAGTATGATATACTATGTATGCGATTTCAATTTACAAATTACTCTTCATGCGCGTTCTGGTAGCCTTATCAGCTTACTCTCTAGAATAAGTAGCTTTTGATTTACTTATCTGGCTGAACATGATTTTCTAAAATACTTCTACTTTCAGCCATTTCAGTTGAATAACCCCTACCAAACGAGCTCTAAAAATTGTATTCCAACATTTGTTTACTGTATGCATTTGCATAAAGCAATTACCACCAAATGCGGGTTTCCTTCATTCCAAATGATTCTTACATGATTTGCAGGCGAGTAGCTCTGAAAAGATCAGGATTGAACTTGGTGTAATTGACCAGCATCTAACAGAACCGCAGCTGAAGTTGAAAGGGCTCTTTCCTGATTGGGTGGATGTCACAGCCTACACGAGTTTCAGGTCCACTTATTTGTTCTAGCCTCTGATACTCACCTCACACCTACTAATCACTCTGTTTTGTCATGTCAAGAGTTTGCCTCGATGGTTTTTATATCGAGCTATAATTTATTACGTTGTACCATCGTTGCTACATATGAATTGAACTGTAGTTTTGCTTCTTGACCCCCACACCCCAATGGAGTTGGGATTACACTGGTTTTGTAGTTGTATTGACTTTAGTTTCTCTTCAAAACCAGTTATGAAATGCTTTGGTCATGTGGATTTGTGATTTTGATTTGAAAAAAAGTGAGACGTTCCTCGGTTCTTCACTTTTTTCCCGCTCATTTCACCGCATTTTCGGTTTGTGTGCTTTTTGTGTTTGTGCTATTAACACTATGTTTACTAGGGGTGAGCGTGGTACGGTATGGTACGGTATTTAGTCTGTACCGATACCGTACCAAATATATCGGTTCGGTATGGGATTTGACATCGTACCGATCCCGATCCCAAAATATCGGTTCGGTATGGTTCGGGATGGTTCGGTTTCGGTTTCGGTAAATATTGAGACGAATATATATACTTACCTAGTTTATACTTTGGAATGTACAAAACTTTTTATTTAAAAAAATTCAAAAGTGCATTCAAATAAAAGTAAGATAGACAATTGGAAAATGAATAATTAAATGCAAAAATACTTATAAAACTTAGTTTAATTTATACTTCATATTTTACAAACAAAAGAGAATGAATGATAAGAAAATAATACGGAGTATTTCACATATTTGTTAAATTTTGTTATATAAATCTACAAAAAATAAAATTAAAATAAATGATTATATAAATAAAAGATTATTTGTAATTCATCTACACTTGAACCAACTTTTCAAAATCAATTTATTTTTGAATGAAGAAATATAAAAACATTGTTATTTTTAAAACGTATTTGTATATATGTTCGGTTCGGGATTTTTCGGTATGGGATGTTACCTCGTACCGATCCCAAATACCGAACCGATCATTCGGTTTGGTATGGTACGGTTCTTTTTCGGTATTTTATCGGTTCGGTATTTTTCGGTTCGGTAATCTCGGGTTTTTCGGGAAATTTCGGTTTCGGTTCGGTACGTGCTCACCCCTAATGTTTACTTTGTCTCTGCTTCTTTGTTTGAGCTGGGTGTCACTTGGAAACAGTCTTTCTATTCTGAGCAGAGTAAAGTCTGTGTACGTACACCCTCATCAAGCCTTACTTTTGTGGAATTTTACTAGGTTTGTTCATCTCGATAATGTAAAAACCATGAAGTTTGAGGGATACATCAAAATGAGAGTGCATCATTTTCTTCATCATTACTTGCCACAATTGGTGAAATTCCTGTTATTCTCAAAACTTCTCAATCAAAACACCCCATTACCATGGGCAAAATTTGCTTCTCAAGGCGGCGAGTAGGACTTTGAGAGTATTTGTGTTGTGTTTAAACGAAAAGAGTCTCCCTTCGTTATTTTTGAGGGAAAGGGAAATGACATGCAAACTTTTTATAAAAAAAAATAGATTCATGTGGTTGATAGAAGAAATCAAAAGATGGAAATAATTTTGAGTCACATAAATGCTACCAAAATGATACATGGTACGTGATAAAAAATAGTTGGTAAAAGAAAAAAAAAAGTGAGTTGCATAGATGTTTGACTACAAAAGATTAAGGGGGTGTATTTAATCCGGATTTTTTAAGAATTTTTTGAACTTTAAAAAGTTGAAGGATTTAGAAATTCATAGACTCCATACAAAGTTTGACTTACTTTTTAATTGATTTACTTGGATTTTGGAAGTAAATCCATCCTCACAATCAACTTCCACTCTCTTGGTATCGTAGTCATCCTCCTCGTCTGACTCATCATCATCCTCCTCCTCATCAGACTCAGGCCTCTCATTCCCTTCCGCATCAGTTTTATCGAGGAACTTCAAGGATTCTATCAGTCCCAAACACTAGATCGATAATCCATAACCCTTGTCACCGGACACTCGTACAGATCGAGAGAAACAAGCTTGAGCTTTGCCAAATCTAGCCCTCCGGAGATTCTATTGTCAGATAAAATCAACTTCTGCAAGTTCTGAAGCCGAGGAAAGCGTTCCAAAGAGGAGACGCCTATGTTTGCAATAGACAAATGTCGAAGGTTCCGAAATCTCTCAAAAACTGACGGCGGAGGCAAGCGGCCGTGAACGCACTTCACGACGCCGTCCATGGTCAAACTCCGGACGAAAGACGGATCTGTCTGGCCTTCCAAAGCAGTCTCCACGGCTTTTTCCCAAATCTCATCCATTAGATTGAAGTTTCTGCACAAGTGATTTGTATCAATGTTTCCCCCCTTTTTGGACCATCACTGTGTGTGTTGGTGTGGCCGCTGCACAAATCGAAGGAGAAGTCTGCAAAATCCCTGGATGGTCAGATTTGGAGCATGGATTTGTAGGCATGAAAATCCATCAAAATCTACAATATTAAAAATCTTTAAAAATCTATCAACTTTTGAATACCATCATATTTAGAAAGATTTGTAAAAATCTGAATTGAATACACCCAAATTTTAAATGACTTTTTTAAATCTGAATTGAATATCTACATACTTTCGAAATACAAAAAAAATCCATCAGAATCTTGATTGAATACATCCTCCTAAACTGGATAAGCACACTAGGATGGAAGTAGTGGTATATAAATTAAGGTAATCAAAGTATCAGTTGGGAATAATCTATACATTACTATCGTTTTTTCATATTCGGGTAAAAAAAGAATCACATTTCTTTGTTGAAGAAGATAAGCAACATGTGAATAGTAACTAAGGCAAACTAGTAATAAAATATTTCTTTTTTAAAAGATATTATAGAGTTAAATATATGTTTGGTCTCTAAAAAATAAGTAAATTTTTCTTTTATTCCCTCTAAAATATATTTTTATTAAGTCATCACTGTAAAATACTCCGTAACTTATTTCGCAAATAGTCTTTCACTAATTATTTTAGCTTTAGAGTTAATGTTGAATTTGTTTGTAGTCCCAAGAAAATTGGCGCTTTTGTTTTTTGTTCTTCTAAAGTTTTTTTAAATCCAATGCAGTTTTATTTTTGGTTCTTTTAAACCCTAACTAATTAACTCCAAGTTAGTGTCTTTTACTTTTAGTCCATTTAAAATACTCGTATATTTTATCGAATCATCTTTGTAAAATACTCCCCTCCGTCTCAATTTATAGTGCCTGTTTCGGTTTACGATGTTTGACTGAAATTATTTTTCAAATCATTTTATATGACAAATAGTATGAAGTTAAAAAAAATAAATATTAAATATTAAAATACGACATAAAAAGATATACAAAACTAGTAGTGACGATATGACTTTATTTTATCAAATTGCTAACGAAAATAGAGAAAGAGCGTGAATGAAGTTTGACCCTGTGAATAGTGAACAGACATTATAATTTGGGACGGATGGAGTATATGTTTTTGAAAATAAATATATATCACATGGATTAAAAGCATATTTAACCCTAAAATTATATTCTAAGCCAAAATAAAGTACATCAATGAAATCTAGTATAGTACCGCTGTATTCCATATGTGGAACTAACACCTTAACAAAAATAATTTGCTAATTTTAACACCTTTGTAGTAACCCTCTTTTTTTTTTTTTTTTTTGCATCAAAACATATTGTGGCCGGCCCTAAATGAAATATCTTGAAAATCAAAGTACAAAAACTGTGCTTCCCTTGGCCCAAATGCACTGGGATTATTCTTGGCATGAGGTGGGCCTACTTATTCTGTTATGAGGCCCGATATCAACCCGAGTCAAAGACTCGCATCATCATCCCATTGTTAGCCAGAGCCCATCAGCAATTCTTTAATTCCATAAACGGGCCACCTTAGAGGCCCAGATTAACACACTGGGGTGGAGAGCTAGGGCTAGGGTTTTATTCACGTTCCCAGTCTCCTCCTCCTCCCCGCCAAGGCGGCGACCCGGCTGTTCTCCTTCTTCTCCAAGCTCGCAAATCGGACCGCCGCAAGCTGAAGCAGCTGAGCTAGGGCACAATGGTACGCCATCTTCATTTCCTCTCGCGTTTACTCTCGTATCACGCTTCTCCGTTCTCGTCATTCGATCCGTTTCTTAACTTCTCGTTCGTGTTCGTCGTCCACGTTTCAGGTGAAGTACTCCAGGGAGCCCGACAATCAAACCAAGTGTAAGTTCTTCCAGTATGCGGAATGGCTTTTTCTATTCTCTTCCTTTGAATTTTCTGCTTTGTGCTTGTTAAATTGATTTGATGAAGTCTAGTATGTTCTAGGCCTCCTTTCTTCCTATGAATTAGAACACAGTTTCCTGCTCCTTTGTACATTTTCAATGTTTTCGCGTGTGTGTTCGGGGAAACGAAAGAGGGGAGATTTTGTCCAAAAGGAACTTTTACTCTGTATCAAAGTTATTGAAAGGAGTTGAATGTAAAGTTCTATCGGTACCTGTTTCCAATGACCCATGCCACGACTCGAAAACGTCTTAAAATGTCGAACTCAAGATGAGTTTGAAGGCCGCCTGGCCCGGGAGAGGCAGTGCTTGCGACTCAAGGAGCCGCTATCATCGGGCGTGATCAGTCATGAGTCTCTTGACAGCGCCCTAAGAAAAAAAAGTAGAAAGAATTCTTCTTAGGCACAGAAGGAAGTAACAAAGTAAATGTTTACAAAGGATGTGCAAAAAGCAGGAAGAAAAGTCCCACAAATTGGATATGTACATAAGTTTCAATAGAAAGTGGTACATTTGATTAACTTTACTCACATTAATTTGTTTGTTTGTCCGTATTTATTACAGCCTGCAAAGCAAGAGGCTCTGATCTAAGGGTTCATTTCAAGGTACTTATTTGTTTTCTGAAGCTTTAATTTGACGTGCTTATTTGATTCTTTGTTCGAGTGCTTCCCAGTGAAAAGAAGATTTGTTTGTTTTTGTGAACTCTTCCTTTGTCTGGAAGGCTGGAACATGAATTTGCATTTTAGTGGGCAAATGTCTTGAGTAATTTCTGGATTTTCACATGGGTGATTGAATGGGGTTACAATTATATGAAACACAACCATTTTGATTACTTTATTCTTATTATAAACTTATAGTTACTTACCAACAGCCTTGTACAACTGTTATGTATACAAAAAAAATCAAATCTAGTGTGCCATTTCACTGTCCCCTGATGAAATCATGTTGCTATTTGCAATTGCTTCATATTTTCTCTCTTCCCCATTTGGCTTGTAATTATTGCAATGTTGAATCCACTGGCCTTTCTATTGGTTGGCATGATATTCTTAATCTCAAGTATACACTTTGCATCAGCGATTCAAGGCTAATAATTTCATGTTCTCTAAATTGTGTCTCATCCTTGTCATTCAAAGTATTTTATGTTTGTCTTATTTTAATGTTTTATTTTATTGTGTTTATTATTCTAAATGCCGTGCTGCCATCCACTGCTGAATGACCTTTGTTTCGAATCTTCCGTGCCTTTTCAGAACACTAGGGAAACCGCTCATGCTCTCAGGAAGATGCCTTTAGACAAGGCTAAAAGGTATTTAAAAGACGTTCTGGCCCACAAGCAAGCCATTCCATTCACTCGTTTCTGCCGCGGGGTTGGACGAACAGCACAGGCAAAGAACCGGCACCCTAATGGACAAGGTCGGTGGCCTGTGAAATCTGCCAAGATAATTCTTGATTTACTCAAGAATGCTGAAAGTAATGCTGAGGTATGTGCATATGCCTCAAGCTGAAACTAAATTTGCCAGTACATTTTTCTCTGGTGGAGTCTATTTAGTTCACAATGGCTGATTGTATTTTTGTAATAACTAAAAGGTGAAAGGATTAGATGTGGATTCCCTCTTCATTTCCCATATCCAAGTAAACCAAGCCCAGAAGCAAAGACGTCGCACATACCGTGCTCATGGGAGAATTAACCGTATGTTCTCCATATTCCTTTATTCTTTGTATCTGTTATGTGTTGTTGTATAGGCATCCCAGAATGTTAATTGTTGTCTTTTTACTTTGCAGCCTACATGTCATCCCCTTGCCACATTGAACTGATTTTGTCTGAAAAGGAAGAGCCTGTCAAGAAAGAGGTTCGTTATCAAAGATTCAATGACACTTCTATTTAATTCTGATTTTTTTTGTAACAAAGGGATATAAATTTCACCCTATTAACATGTGCCTTCTCTCTATCAGCCGGAATCTCAGCTGGCAGCGAAGAAAGCTTAAGGGGCTTAGGAATGCAAACATTCAAAAGGGGAGTTTCAGAGTATTTTTTTTACTCCATTTTGCGCACGCCATTTAAACTAGTTGTTTAGATCTTGTCTTTGAGGATGGAGTTTATGCATTGCCTTCCTCTGTTGTTTTTGAAGAACTTTTACGTTATTATGACTGCGGTTTTCCGACATTCTAGTCGCCTTGCAACACTTTCGTCTTTGCATTTCAATTCCCTAGAAGCCTTGAAAAACATTTCATGTCTTTCTTATCATTATACTATTGAGACACCATTATTCTGCCCCGTATGAAAAACTTTTTCACAAGGGTGCAACTTTAAGTTTTAGAATGGTCCGACTAATTGAAATAATCAAACAAATAGAACACAAATCGTTTTGTTCGGGACTTTTTTTACTCTTTTTTACTCGGTTCATCTTATCTTTTGGCCATTGTTTTTAAATTTTACTACGTAGTAACTTTTCTCTTTGGGGTTGAGTTGTGTGCTCCTTGTTATATAATGCTCCATCCCAAAATGTTGTCCCTTTATTACATACTTTGTCATTTAGGGGTGAGTATGGTATAGTAGTTTGTATTGATATTGTATCAAATATTTTGCTTTAATAAGGGATTTTATGGTGTATCAATCATGATCTCAAAATATCAAATTGGTATGGTTTGAATGGTTTGGCATTGATTTTGGTAAAAAATCATGGTGATATGTATGTACTTAGTTTACACTTAAACATATACTCCTCCCGTCTCAAAAAGTCTTTTCTGTTTCATTTTTTGCACATCTCATAAAACACTTCTATCCTGCCTTGAATACCAAAAAAACTTTTAAAATAACTTTTACAAACAATAAAGAAGAAATGTTGTAAATTTTAGGCATTTTAGATGTCGGTAGATATGTTTTATGTGATGCGCAAAAAATAAAACAGGAAAGACTTTTTGGAACGGAGGGAGTAATAAATTTCTTTATATTTTGAAAATTGAAAGTACATTAAAATAAAGATAGATAGAAAATAAAGTATGAAGATTGAATTCAAGAAATGCGTATGAAAATTAGTTTACATTTTAGTACTAACTTAAAGAATGAATTGAATAACAAAATAGTATTGGAGTATTTCAAGTGTAATGCTTTTATACTCATATACGAAAAATTAAAACATAAAGTATGGAGTATAATTTACACATAATGAAACTTAATCTAAATTTTCAAAATAAATTTATTATTTAATGAAAAAATATATGAAGCTTGTTACTTTTATAACATAGCGAGTATTATTATGTTTTGTTCGGAGTTTTTGATATTTTATCATACAATATTTTTCGATTGGGTATTGGCTTTTTGAGAAATTTTGAGATCAATTCTGTACTTGCTCGTCTCTTTCGATGTATGCCATTCGTTCTTATTTTTTATAACCATACAATATTAGTTTCTTGCATTTTTTTGGTAAGTTTTAGAAATCTGATATATGAGTTTTGAAATTTGAGAGAAATAATACAAGTTTTAAAATTTGAAATTAAGTCATTTGGAGAGATTTAAAATTATATTTTAATTAGTGATTAGCAGAGGTTGCCGGAGGTGATTGACGGTGATAGCAGTAACGAATGGTTGAGTAATATATCAAATCTCCACATTGATATATTCTAAATTTTGGGAAATATCTAACTCTTCATTTAGAGGATTCGTAAACTCCTAAGTTAAGTTCAAATTATTTTTATGCCTCACCAAACACTAGTAAAAAATCTGATATCGAGACATGAATTTCCTACACTCTCTGTCGCTCGCCAAATGGACCCTTAGTTCAGGAGCAGTCAAGCCACTACATCATTTTTTGTGCATAAATTTCAATAGTATAATTTCACCTCTTAGATTTTCCAAAATAATGGGATCAAGGTATGTCTTCTTGTGCAATAGTATAGCCTTACATTAAACTAATTGTATCCCAAAATTTATGCCCTAAATTGTACACCACATGTATCTAAATTATACATCATATGTATGTACTTTCATTTTGTACCAGTGTTATGTTAGAGTGATAACGGAGACGTAAAATGGTAATGCAACTTTTTTCACACTAACATTTAAGGTAAATATGAATTATTAAAATATTAGCATAAATCTTTAATACTACGTATAATATTAGTGTATATTTCTTAATATAATTGTAGCATGATTGTTTTACCTCTTAAATTACGCAAGAGGTTAATGGGAGCCTTAAATAGTAGGGGAGAGCATCGGGTCGGTTCAGTCGGTTTCAGTTGAAAACCGAACTAAGCAAATTTTTTTTTGCAAAAAAAAACCGACCGAAAACCGACCGAGTTGGGATGAAACCGAAGCAACCGAAAACCGATGTAACCGATGGTCGGTTTCCCAAAACCGACATCTACCAAAAAACAAATTCTCAGAAACTCGCTATTAATTTCAAAATTTAACATAAATGACTATAATTTCAAGCTACTGAAAGAACGGACGATAAAGAAATTGAAGGATACATGGAAGAATAGAAGATGAACATGGAAGAAGGATGTGCGAATCTTCACGACGAATTGGTGATGACGGAGTAATAGGGTTATCCCTTATGTTGAATGGCAATCGATGGCAGACCATAGACGAATTTAGGAACTGGCCGACTTTGGGAGACGGATAAAACTACAGAGGAAGGGGCGACGACCATTAGCAATGGCGGCTCTCCTGTGAACACTCGAACAAATAAAAAAAATACTCCGTAGATGCTAACTGCCTAACCCTATTGATTGGGTTGTATTAGTACACTAAAATTGATTGGGCTGTGTATTAAATAATAAAATTGGATTGGGCTTATACTTTACACATATTAAAGACTTTAGGTATAAAATTATTTTGGGCTCGGTTATTCGGTCGGTTTCGGTCACCACCACCCAAAACCGAAACCAAAAAACCGACTAAACCGATTTTTTCAGATTTTTAAAACTGAAACCAAACTTTAGGTCAGTTCGGTTTTTTAGCACAGGTTGAACGATCAGTTCTGTTAAATTGCTCACCTCTATTAAATAGTCTTAAACTCACACGGAGTAGCAAGGAACAATATAGGCATGACCGCTCTTGTTTTATATAATATTTGATATATTTAACAAATTAATTTTATTTTGAAATTTTGTATTATTATTTAAATAAACTGAACGTGTTAATACTCCCACAATTTAATGATGCACAATGAACCAATAGTTTTGCAAGAAATCAAACTTGTGTATCTTTTGAAGTATGCTACGTTGACATTATCTTTTTAATTTGGGATCACACCATAACATTTTTTGTGAGCATCAATCATCTAAAACTCGCCAAACTTGCTGGTGTGCATTGCTAACGTTGGTCTCTTAAATTAACCACTTGAAATGACGGTTTCCTCAATTTGTATTAACATCGATCCCGCTGAAATAATATTTTACATTTACAAGTCACAACGTAACACCACTTACCCGATTTTTTCTAACACCAATAATAATTACTCCATATGTTTTAACATTGCTTAGTCACTCAAAAGATTGCATTTTATTTTTGGAGGGAAAGAAAGGACTCTGTATGTTCAAAAAATACTTTCAGTTATAACATTATCCATTCACAAAGAATCTCGAGGAACAATAGAGACCCTCTTAGGTCAAATTCAAAAAAAAGGAAAAATCAACTTGTGGATCTTGTTGATCTATCGACGACCAAAGATAACAAACATGTGGGAACTTATTTACTTTCATTGAAGACTAATAGGTGCCCCAGGTCATGCTACGACATTGATACTCAATTTCACATGAACCGGCCTCTTTTTTAAGGAATGATATTTGATTTTGTTTCTTTCATATCAAAATAAATACACAATTCTATTTGTGTCAAACGTAAATGAAGAATTTTTTTTTGGGCCGGGACAAATGGAGTACTATTTTAGACACTTCTGGATTTTTGTTTATGCTTGTTGTTTTCTAATACTTCCCTACTTATATCTTCTTCAACTCTTAGGTTTGGCACAACTCTCATCGCGACATACATACAGTTCGACCATAGTGCCTGGCTAAGTAAGTCAATACACAGCTCCTCGGCTGTTTTTCATTCTGATATGCACATATACAATACATTCAAAACATCATCGCTTACACATGATTTTCGCATGACATACCTGGCTATTCGGAAAGGCCACCTTCCCGCCTTAATTGGGTTGTTGATTCACGGTGTTGCATTTTCTTTCCATTATTGAAATCTATGGCATGCAGGAGAGACATGGAGAAGAGGAAGAGCAAGAGAAACTGCAAGAGGTTGACCAACATTACGAGCTTCAAATGTATGTTAGCTTTTCTTATGGGTTTATGTATAATAGGAGTTAAAGATGGACATTATAACTAAATGAGAATTTAACTCTTTTTATACCTAAATAGGAGCAAAAGTCAACAATAACACATTGGAAATTGACGCACACATACATTGACACAAAGAGGCCCGCCAGATTCAGGTGACAATGTGTGTCATTAACGCATTGCACCACCTCTCATGTAACTCCTATTTAGGAATAAAAATAGCTGGAGTACTATTTATATACTCAGTCCATGATCCACTAGGAGCGTTTCTATTTCCACAGATGTACACTATGTTTGGTTCAAGGAATTTGGAAAGAAACGAAAAGAAAATGGGTTTATTCCATTTTCATCACCAAAATGAGACGAATTTGATTTTCTCTCCTCTTAGTACATTTTCCCTCTTCATTTTTTTTCCTTCCACTTTCCTTTTCTTTTCCTCTCTAACCAAACAAGAGAAATTGTTTTCCTTCTCATTTTCTTTTCTTTTCCCTTTCAAATTCCTTGAACCAAACATAGTGGTAAATACACACACACATACCTATTCACAGTGGACTTAATAAGAGTTCGAATCAGATACCATCCTACAGCAGAGTCAGTTTCGTTGATTCGTTGCCCTCAATGTTGGGTTGTCACCATATGGTATGTCTTCATCGTCTTCAAGTTCATCCAACTCATCTAATACTGACTGGTTCGCTGCCTTACGGGATTGTCTCCTGTGCTTCTTGGGCTCTAACCGTGGTTCAGCTTGCATAACGCCCCCATGTCCTGCTTTATACCTGGAAAAAAAACATAAAATAGTAAGAGTGAAGTGGAACAATCAGTAAGCTTGCATCTTCAACACTTATATTGCTCTCTCACAGCAATAAAACCGTTCAAGTAAAATGGCTCTATAACACCATCCTAGCTTCATACGGCTTTTAGCCTGGTAAGAATTTGGCTTTGGCTTTTGATCCAACACGGAAAATAATTGCCCGTGTAGCAGATTGACACTGCCAAGTTACCTCCACCCAAGAGAAGGATAACAGAAGTGAATGAAAAAGGTTTACCTGACATCGCTTTCTTGTTTAGTCCCTACAACCCTAAGTTGAATCTCCTCTCTGATTTTTATTTCATCAAGTAACTGAAGGTAGTATGGGTATCTTTCCCAGTCTCCCCCAATAACGCACCCCGGTTCACCAAGATGCAAGCAATTGTTGAAAGAACACTTTGCAGGTTCTTTTTCTGTAAGCCTTTTTCTGATCTGAAGAGCAAGTATGCTTTAGCCATTTATTGACTCAAAAATATGAGAGAAAATAGGTACGTTGAACAAAGATTACCTCGGGAAAATGTTGCGCAAGGGAGCGCTTTGTCACTTTAATTAAACTAGGATGGTTAAATCCAGGGGTATCGGCAACATACCCTCCTTCAGATAATGGAAGTAAAGAAATGTTCCTGGTAGTATGTTTCCCCCTTCCACTTCTTGTAGACACTTCCCCCACACGTTGCTCTTCAAACCATTTCCTGCCAAGAACCTGACAAAGCAGTCCAAAAGAAAAAGGATGTTAGAAGCTAGAAACTAAAGAAATGAAATAATAGGCCACTAAATATTAAGGAAAAGCTCACTGAATAGGAAGAACTTATGTCTCCTTCAACAGTAGCACAGACACCATGTTTATTGGATCTTATAACATTTATGAGACTAGATTTTCCAACACCACTTGGGCCAAGAATTACTGAGGTCCGTTCTCTCATAATGAACTGCAAGGCATCAATCCCGTGCTTCGATTCCACACTGCAAAAGATAGGTTCATAACCCCATTTGCTAAGCCTAGCTTTCCATGCAGCCAATATCTGCATAAATTATACAGCCTCATGGAGTTATTAATCCTCCTTAAGGTTATAACCACAAAATAAATAACCAATTGAATGATCTCAACTCTGTGACCAACAATTAGGCATGCGTGCATTACAGGATTCGAAGAGCTTGCCACATTAAATTATGTGGAATGTTATTATCTAATCAGTGAGAATTAAATCAACAAAAGTAAAACCCTAAGGGTCTACCCACTATACTTGCATTATGGGATTTGAAAAGCTCACTGCATCAAAAGCAATGGAACATATTCCTTGGAACATTTCCTAGTTCCTACCAATGCTACATTAGAAGAACTGTAAATGATTAATCATGCCATGCGCCAAAGTAGATTTTATTTGTTTCAAGAGCTCATTTACATTTGTCAGAATTTCATCCATGTGTATATTCATTGAGTTTCAAATATAATGCAAGATTGGCGGGAGACATCCATACAAGGATTGAAATAGGGCCATCTTCAAACACTGGTCAGGGCTTGAATTCTAGAAATATTCCGCCCAACCAGGCCTAATCATAGAACCATTGATGATAATGCATTTCAGTCACTAATAATCAGTTGATTCTATCCTGGTTTAGAGCTACTTTAATGCATTTCAGTCACTAATATATTGGTGTACATATTCATGGGATGGGAAGAATATAATTGTATTCTTGATTTCCTATCCCTTTCTCTCTCTCTTATTAATGGAGTTTCTTGTTCTCCATTCCTTTTTTTAAAAATAATTCTTTGCTCAATAAATATTCAAATAAAAAATAGTACATCGGTAATAAGAGTATATTAGTCCATACATGATCCGCCCAATCACCTAAACCGGGCAACGAACAAGAGGTCAGATCTAACGTTTATGATCAAATGCACAATTGTATCATACAGCTAATAAAAAATTGAAAGATCTACTGCACACATTGCACTCTAAAGCATTTCCTAACATGCATGAACCACTAACAATCTATAGGTCACATGGTTATCATTCTTCCCCTGAGTGTTCAGAGATAAATCATAAGATAAGACCCTATCAATGTGATTAAATGTCACTATTTAAAAAATAAACATGTCTAGTAGTGCCTTGGTCATAAAATGCATAAGGTGGCTAGTGATATCCTATTCATGAAGATGCAAACCTCTTCAGAAACAAGTTCAGACTTGTTTATGGCCAGGGTGAAAGGAACTCCACTTGACTCGGCCTCTATGAGGAATCTTGTGAGAGTGAAGGCCTCAAGTTTAGGTTGCTCCAAGGAAAACAAGACCAGCAAATGATCCACATTGGCCACGGGAGGGTCCGAAATCTCGCACTTCCTCTGAAACACATTCTCTATCATCCCTCGACGATCGATCCAATCAATGGAGCCTACGAGCACCTTGTCCCCAACCATCACTTTCCTCTTGATCTTCTTCAACAGCGCCTTCACCACGCACAGCAGTTCCACTCCAACTCCTGGAGTGCCACCGGAATCTCCACTAGCTCCCGAAACACCACGCGCTTCCGGAGGCAGAGATTGCACTACAACGCGCATGAAGTTCGCCTGCGAAGCCAGTACCGTTCCCACTGCTTGGTCCCGAGACGGATTCCACTTGTCTTCGTGAGAGAGAACCGGAACAAGAGAGGAGAATTCCTTGACGGTCTCGCGAGCCTTGCGGATGTTGTTATTCTGCTGCTGGAGTCTCCTGGAAGCGGGGTCCAATCTGTGCTGGTGGTGACGAGCGGAGGCGGGAATGGCCGAGGAGTAGGTTATGTAGCTCCGCCGCAAGGCTGAGGCGGTGGAAGGAGAGAACGGGAAAACCGCGGCCGGTTGCAGAAGAGCAGAAATTGAGGCAATCCTCATTGGAGCCGATTACCAGAAGGGAAATGATCGAAGTTGGGGTTTGGTAAAACAGAAAATTGCAGAGAGAGAGAGAGAGGTTCTTTGTTCTGGAGTTCTCTCGGATGGCGGTGGTGAATTTTACAAATTCGAATTTTTTCATTTGAAAAATTTGTTACCAGGTATATGTTACAAGCAAATATTTATTCTCGCACAAACGTAACTATTCAATTTGAAATAGCATGGTACTCATTCTAAAATAACGTAATACTCATTCTGAGATAACGTAGTACTCATTTTTACACTTTTGTTCAATATAATTATAATATTTATTTATGAAAAATATCATGTTCATTCTTAAACAAAATAATGTTCATTCTCAAATAAGATAATGATCATTCTCAAGTAACTTACCTTTCATTAGGTTCAAATTTAGAAAAGACTCCGTATAAATCTATTGGGCCCCGCTGCTCGTGCGTGTATCTCCTCTATCCTCCCAATTGCTTCTCCCCAGATACAGCCGTCGATGCAGATTACTCTATGTGCAAGCCGTGCCGATGTGGATTCCGATCTGATCTGACGAGTTCGCCGCAATCTCCAGATCGCTTCTCTTCCTCGGCAATCGCCAATTTCACCCAGTGCATATTCCGGCGGGAATTTTAGGTGACTACTTTGAAGCAATAGGCGTTGGCGCAACTCTCTTCCCTCAATTTAATTGCCGGCTGTACCAAAAATATGGTACAGCCGGTTGTACAATATAATTTGCCTACTTACTCCCTTTTTTTGTTTTTCTTTTTTTGACGAATTCGTACCCCATATATCTTTGGGTAATTTACATAAATAGGAATAAAACATAATAACTTTCACAATATAAGATTATATATTTTTATTTCCCAATATAGGACCATTGGTCATTATATATTAGTCATTATTCAACTAAATGTCTAGCATCACTCGAACATTATTTTTTCTCACTATTCATTATTAAGTCCTATTTATGAAATAAAAAGGTTCAAGTCCTACATTGGAAAATGACATATGTTCTAGTCCTATTCAGTGCAAATTTAACTATATCTTTTTTCGGTGATTTTTTTCCTTGTTCCAAATTATTTACAACATTTCAAATAATGTAGGGAGACATAGAGTAGTATAAAATATCACCGTTTTTAAAATTATTTTATTTACAAAATTTTACATAAATAAAAAGTAAAAATTATATTGTTCGGAAGTGCACCAAAAATTCTACAAAATAATATGTGACAAGAATACTTTATTTTATCAATTTGTCAATCAAAACGAGTAAATAAAAAAATTATCAAAATGTTAGAATAGTAACAATGACATTCTTTTTGGTACAAAGAGAATATCTTTTTGGGTACATAGACCTTTTTTAACCATACTCCATTCCTATTTAAATAAATTTTTTTGTTTGAGTCTCAGTAAATTAAAAAAGAATCTAAAAAGATGTTAAAAAAAGAATCTAAAAAGAATGTTTGAGAAAATGAAAAAGAAATGGTTAGAATTTGATGAGAAAGAGATCAGATTATTTAACCACATAATTCCATCCTTTAAAAAATTAAAAAATATTTTGAAATGCCCAAAAAAATTACTTATAAAGAGAGGGAGTAATATTTATGGATAGACATAAGTCACATAACTTCTAAACGTCATATTTTAAATCTTTATACTCCGTATATGTGTAAACATAAGAGTTTTTTTTAATAAGAAGTATATAATTGAAATTGGATGTAATTACATTTAATAGTATTTTTTTTTGTTTATGTTAGATTGGTCGTATAATTACGAAAGAAGCATTTCCCGCATTTAAATAGTTTATTTCGATTACTGCACTTTCTAATTTCGAGTGAATGTAACTAGCTCCTTTCTTCCAAATTTAATATTCTCGCTTCCCTTTTCTCATTGGCTCAAGATCAAATGAAGTATAAAGTATTAATTGGCTTCCTTTTTTCTCATTGGCTCAAGATCATATGATCCAAATTTAGTATTACAATGGTTAAAAAGTATAAAGATTCGAACATGAATTGGCTCAAGATCATATGAAGCGTGAGGTGTAGTAATCATATTTTTGATTAGCTCCGCGACATAACAAACTCTCAGGTAAATGCTTTTTAAGGGGAACTACTAAAGCAATGATAATTGATTTAAGTGGCATGGCCATCTACTCCGCCATGGGAACTTTTCCTAATCTAAAATTTGTTGTGCCCTTTTCATCAAGAAACTGCTGCGGGATATCTTAAGTTTTATGGTTAGAACTATCGAGTACCTCTAATTTTTAAAATATAATCTGAGTACCTTAAATAATGTGAAAACTTACTATCCCTCTTCCGTCAAATCTATTCTTCCGTCAATTTGATCATCATCACCATCAACATCATGTCGAATACTTTAAACAAGAGGGTATCGGGTCGAATAAAAGGTACTCAGAGCCCAATATGGTACGACAATATTATAGACTCGGCAATCGACCTTGGCCCAATACATAGTCCAGAGTTAAGGTCAACCAGACTAAAGCATGCTCGCATGTTAGTTGAATATTCGGCACATGGTCAGTCTCTGCTAAATTGAAATTGAGGTGAATTTAGCAACACCTAAATAAAAATGAATATGAATCATATTTTTAATTTTTGAAAGAAAATGAGAGAAATGTGAATTGGACTCTGTCTTTGATATTTTTGAGCAAAACAAATGGGAAAATTTGAACTGAAAAAAAAACTAAAGATGGCGGCAATTACATGAACAAATTGAACACCGATCTCAAGTAACCAATCCGTACGCTAGGGTTTATTCTCACCACCGTCCTCCGCCACGGTCCGCCCAAAATGTTCGGAGCTCAGCCGTCCGCATCCCCCTTCGCCACTCCTTCCTCCACCCCATCCTTCGGAGTTCAGCCGTCCGCATCCCCCTTCGCCACTCCCTCCTCTACCCCATCCTTCGGAGCTCAGCCGTCCGCATCCCCCTTCGCCACTCCCTCCTCCACCCTATCCTTCGGAACCCCTTCGTCCACTCCAGCCTTCGGCACCCCTTCGTCCACCCCAGCATTCGGAAACTTTTCCTCTACACCTGGATTTGGCACGCCTTCTACTTCGGCTTTCGGAACCTCCACGTTCTCCAATCCGTTCTCTCAACAATCGCAACCACAGCAGCAGAGTTCATTTTTCCAGACTCCTCAGAGCTCCAGTGCATTGAGCTTTTTGAATCCATTTGGGGCATCCCAGCCCCAGCAGATGTATGCATCTTCACCTTTACCATTTGCAAATGCTCAATTGACCACTCAGATGGCTCCCGTGGCCCCTCTTCCATTTTCTCTTGCAGATCGTGATATTCAGGTACAGATTAAGAACTTTAAGTTTTGTATGAATCCGTAACCTTTGAATATTTGAACCAGTTCATTCTATCATGCACGGATTTGTGATGACTGACCTGTTGCATTGTGTGTACTTTTCAGGCAATCATTGATGCTTACAAGGAGGATCCCGGGAACCCCAAGTATGTGTTCAAGGTTTGATTCGTTCAAAAGTTTCTCTCTATTTTGATGGCCTACTTCAGATTTGGTTAACAATGTGCTTACAAAAGTATTACTCTCATACCACACCGGATATTTTTGTTTATCAAGTCTCCCATGTTTCAAATATGCAATCTGGTTTCGTTCATATTAAAAGTAATTTAAACCTACCAATAAAAAAGACATTAGTCCTGATAGCAAGTAAATCACTCTATTTCTAACTAAATTTGAATTGAAGTGTGTTCCTGGTGTATCAGTGCTAACCTTTAATCCTGTTAACTACTTTTCAATTTGCAGCATTTATTGTTCAGTGTGACTGAACCTCAGCAAAGAGTAAAGCCCGCTGGTGTATCAGATGTGAGTTAAATGCACTGAAAACCTTTATTTAATATGGGTCTTTTTTCGTGTTCCATTTCATGAATTCGTTCTGATTCCCAGATTATGTGGGCAGAGGCGATGGGGAAACTTGAAGGGATGGAGTCTTCAAACCGTGAAAGGCTATGGCCCCAGCTCATCCAGGGATTCAAGGATCTCTCCCAACGTCTTAAGGTACTGTCATAGTTTGGCTAGATTAATGTCTACAATTCTCACATTGCCTCCCCACACCTCCATCTTCATCTTATCATTGTTTCTCTGGAGTAATTGATGGCATTTTTTCTAAAAGCGAGTCTACACCGTCCGGATTACCTCCAAGTGCTGTTAGGAGCCAACTAGTTAGCTTAGATGCTGTATTATTTTTGTGTGAAAGACTATCGAGAAGGGTTCCCTACATTTCTGTGACCCAATACATGCCATATCATGTTTAGATGAAGTTTCCCGATTCCCACCATTTGTACTATGCTTCATCAGTTCATTGTGATATATGCCACACCTAATTTTTAGAGAAACCTAACTTTCGAATACATTTAGGAAGAAATTGACTTCATTATGACAACATTATTTGTAATATATTCATTAAAGTTGAGACTTCATTTAGGACATACTACCTATGTGATATATCAACTGTTGGTTTTTTTTGTCCCCATACAATTACATTGAAGTTTTATTCTTAAGTTATTTTTAACAATTACTATAAAATACACTTTGTGACTTAATTATTAAACACATTACAAGTTATAAAAGTTTGAGGAGAAAATATTAACAAAGAACTCGTAATTTCTAGGCCTTCTTAGACATCAATTAATCACTGCATATGCCACATAGGCACCAGTTCTTTGTTCGTCCCCAGCATAGCGCTTATGACATAACGTTTTTAGAACGTTTATTGTTGTTCTAAATGAACTAATGAAGTTTTTTGAATGTGTATATTAATTTCAAATACATGTAAGGTTGTTCATGATGGCATACTAGCTTTGTCACTTGATTTATTGTAGATTTGTAGAAGACAGTTCTGGAACATAGTTGTAGATACAACAACAGACCAAGTGTAATCCCAACGCCATTGAGTATATCAATTAAGATGTACGCAATCTTATGTGTGTAAAAACCAAATAGCTTGGTCCCATTAGATCCTTGATGCATTGCTGCATTTATTGTCCAAAACTTCATAGAAAGAAAGAGACAATGAAAATTTAATGTGCCATTTTGATTTAGTTCATTATTTACTTGAAGCTAAAACATTGTCTAAAATGACATTTTTAGTTCCATTGGCAATGGATGATACATAGTTGCAAACACAAGGCACTCAAATGAAAACCAATTTATTTAGACTACTTTATTTACTTTTTAGTTGGTTCAGCGTGATCAGTTTTCTGTCTTCAATGTATTGGTTTTTCTTTTATGGGGTTTTAAAAGGATGGTCATGAGTCACATTCACACGGCTCGAATTTGGCACACCGCACACAACACTTTTCGTTAGGGTATCTAAAAAGCATTCATTACTTACATCAGGATTTCCAATGGAACTTTGTAGCAAACTGTGAAACTTGTTGATAACATAATTCTGGAAATTTGTAACTTGAGATCAGGCTGCTGTGCTTCAACTGCTTAGCCCCTCAACATTATGTTTGGTTGGATATTTCCATGACATTCATTGAAGGATCATCAATTGTGACTGATGTATCCAATGTTACTTGGCTTTTATGCAGCTTCAAGATGAAGTCATTATTTCAGATGCTGAGAGGCTAAAATTGACACAGAGCAATGTTAAAATGGTTTGTCTATCTCATATATGCACTTAAACGTGGATGCTTGTACTTTGTCGTGTTTTCACTGTTTTGAGGACAACAGTTCATTTCTAAGCATTCCATATCACAGCTACAAAGACATTTTCAAGCAGACACTATTCCTTGGATTGAGAGGATGAGGCAAAAAGAGCAAGGTCTTCAAAGACGACTTTTAAGGGTGAGATATATTATTGCTTCCTAATTTGGACATGTCTAACTGCCTAACAATTCAAATTTTTGTATCGAATGGAAGGCTACAATTACTGTCCTGTTTGGTGGTTAGCTGTCTTCTTTTCTGTTCCATCCTACTGCTGAATAATGTTGCCCATCGGTGGTTTGCATGGCAATTGGCATCTTATAATAAATTTGTGGTTAGCAATTTTTTTAAAAGTTAAAACTGAATCCCTAAGCACCCATAAAGTCTATAAAACTTGGTGGTTCAGTTTTCTGACTGGTTTGGTTTTGCTGGCATCCTGGACATTTCAAAACACTAGAAGTTAATCTCCTATACTTTCAAAATATTTTTTGTAGTGAAGGAAAATAGTTTTATAAATATAAACCCTTCATTTTTATTGCTTGAATCATATTCTTCAATGACTTCAATCTTAGTTTTGCATTAACTTATTTCAATTACGATTATGAAATGAATCTAGTATAAGTGGCCAAATGAAACATAATGCTCAAACTTAATAAATTAATAATAAGTACCCCGAGTAAATTGTAAATAGTTTCATAAGATATGTCTTACAGACTACTTTCCTAAAATTATTTCATGTTTTTTTTACTATTTTATTATGTTAGATATTAACGCTCAAACATTCACATAAGATACCATGAACACAGATTAGACAAATATATTGGGACAAATGGATTATGTTTGTGTTTTGGATTGTGTAAATGCATTGTGTGCCTGCATGGCTCAGCTTTTTTACAGTTTAATAATAGATTTAAAGCTTGAATCTTTTAGTATACAGGGGTATACATAAAGAAAAGCTGTACTCAGACATCAACACTTTATAGTTTTCTAAACCCATAAATAGTATGGGGTTGCAATTCTGCTCTGCTGAACCAAAGCACGTTCATACATGATATTTAACAATCTCTTTCTCCAATTCATCGGCTTTAAAGGTAATGAGAATAATAGAGGCACTGGAAGGTAAAGGTTGTCGATTACCTCTGATGAAAGGTGAAGCCGAATTGGCAGAGAGGCTGGCTGTTATAACTAGACAGGTTGGTATTTTTCCTTTTGACCATGTAAAAATTGTTATTTTTCTAGCTGGAGATCTTATGAGTGATTCAACTTACAGTTAAAAGGATCTGGAGCTGAACTTTCTCGGAGGGTTCAAAATCTTCTTACAATCTGCCGTGTTCAAAATGGCATTGGGGGAGCCTCTTTCTATCTTCCAGAATCTGCTAAAATACATGAGCAAAGTCTTACTAATATGCAGGAGGTACACACAAAACCCTTTTTTGCAACTGATGTTTCTGTTTTAATTTATATTTTGTCAAATGTGATCTTACTAAATATTTTATTAATTTTAAAGTAATTAAATTTTGGCATTGCCATATAGATTTGCTTTTGTCCCTAGAGGCAAATTCTTGTGTGGTCCACATTTATTTTATGGACCTTAATACATGGAATAATTTGAATTGGGCCTTGTAAAAAGAATGAAATCAAATTGGCCCATGAAAAATATGTGAGAAGGTTTGTGGACCTTAGGACTACAATAACACAACTCGTGTCTAGAAGCTCCAAAAGCAATGTAAAGTGTTTTCTTTTTCAAGAAGCACTTGTTAAATGCTATTTTCAAAACCACATAGGTCTTCTTTGAAATTATATGGAAGCTGTAATTGAATTATTAGGGAATAAGATACACCATCACCAAAATCCATAATAATCCCAACTTTGTTTGGGTCTTTGGAGCCAAGATTTATGTAGCCTGACCCCTTTAAAAAACAGAGGAACTGTTTCTGTCACACCCTTGATGCATTGCTGCATTTACTATCCAAAACTTCACCAAAAGTAAGAAAAGAAATATATTGTGCCATTTTGATTTAGTCCACTATATATCCCAAACGAAACATGCCAATAACGATTGTTTTAGCTCCATTGGCAATTAATGTAATTCAATAATTGAAATTAGACAAGTTATGATGTCTCCAACATCAGGAATTGAGAAACCCCAGGAGTTACCCAAATCCCGTGTTTTAGATCCAAATATGGGATTCCTCTGAATCAAAAGCCAAACCAGAAAAGGGCCATTTTATACCTTTTGAAAGTGCTTTAAAATCTGTAACCTAAACATTATGTTACTTTTGCCCCTCTATGAGGACACTGATTTTTGTTTAAACCAGGTTTTGCAACAACAAACAGAGGCCATTGCCAGGCTTGGAAATGTGCTGAAGCGAGATCTTAGGGATATGGAGATCATAATGGCAGAAGACAAAAGAATGGTAGAAGATTAACCCATCCAGTTATCCATGTGTGGCAATGCATTTTTTCTGAGGTTCGTATCTGTTCTAGATTTTGATATTAATGGAAAGACATGGCTGTTTGTGATGTATTTTTTTGTATCATAATTTTTTTCACAATGGTATAAATGGATTCATATGTGATGTTTTTAGCTATCAAATTTTACCGTGTTCTTACTCATTATTTCCGCTGCATGTAAAATCGATAGGGATTGATCTAAAATGCAGGGACATTGGTCGAAATGCTTAGAAAAAAATGCAAAATGTTGTTCTATCTTGATTTATGGGTAGAAGATGTAGCATTTATTCATGCTGCAGTGTAAAAGAGCCAGATTGATCTTAAGAGCATAGGCAATTGCAAGTTGTGCCCTGGAATGTCACACAGTGATGTGGTAGAATACAACCAATCAAATAATGCATAGTCACAGGGTGGCATTCCATTAGAGTAGGATGCCCTGCAATGGCAAGTATTGTTTATTAGTCAATTTTAACATTTTTGACATAATTTAATTAGTTCATGTGTGTTTTATTTTTCATTTTTTTAATAAATATTTGTATTTTCGTGGCAAGATTTTAATTGTACAGGGAAAACATTATTTCTCTAAAATTAGTTTAATTATCTACTCAAATTGTATAATCTAGGATTCAAACACTAATTTTAAAAGTATGTATTTTTAGTTTTAGAAAATATGTTAAATTGTTTTATGAAGGAAAATAGATTGAAACGAAAAAAACAACATAGATGATTAAAAAATTGGCATTTTTGTTTAAAAAGGGGTTAGATTTTTTCAAAAGTTGGATTTGGAAAAAAGAACAAGTGAGGCAAAACACATGCAACAAAAAAAAAGAAGAATCAGAGGGTTAAGCAGGTGGCAAAAAAATGAAAAAAAAGAAGGAAAAAGAATAAGGATTCAGTGGCACTGACGTATTTTGACATTCATTTCTCCTCGCACAAGCCACGCATATGGCAGGGTCTCGCCACATTCCATGCAAGTCAATTATTGTTTCTCCCATTGTATTCTCTTCCACTCCACTAATGACAGGGCAATGCAACGACTTGCCTTGTCATTGCATATGCTCAATGAAGTGCCATGGTTCAAGTGTCTTTGATCTAGAAGTCAGGAACGGTCGGTTTCAATTAGAAACCGAAAAAAGTGATCTTTTAAAAGATTGATGAAAATCGATCGAACCAAACCGCAAATAAATTAAAACCGGCTGAAATGAAAACTGCAAGTAGAGCAAAAAAGACTGCAAAATTAAAATTTGATTACTTTTATTTCAAAAATTCAACAGGTTGGATTAATATGTACTCTGTATTTGATTATCACTTCTACTGTCATAGGAGTTTAGAAGATAGATTAATATTTATTTGAATATACACTGTCCATTTCACACACACAAAAAGTACTCTGTGTTTTCTTATTTAGATGCCTTGAAACACATTAACTAAATTTTTTAAAGAGTGACAATAAAATTTTTTGTAGGAAAGTAAGAAGAAAGCGTGTGCTAATAACATATTTTTTTATTTCAAATCAAACAAAGTAAATAAAATAAAATTGTTGGTTATTTAGTTGGTTCGGTCTTTTCTTACCAAAAATTGGTTGAAAAAATGAAACTGATTTTCATGTGAAAATCTTAACCGAAACTGAACTTTCAATTAATTCGGCTTGGAGTCGGCGATTTCGAGTTGACTCTTGAAAAAATGCTCCCCCTAATTTGATCCCTGAGGGCGTTTGGTCTTGCTTAAATTTTTAAGAAAGTGATTATTTTGATACGCAGTCTATTGGAGAGCCCTGTAGTGTTCTGTTAGATTCAAATTAATTTTTACCCCTTGCTCCTCTTGACATACAGACATTGAATGCATAATCCAAAATTAATCGTTTTTTTTGGGGCACTTGAGGGATTTTTAATTTCACATAAAAAAAACTACTTCCTCCATCCCAAAACAAAATATACCAGTACAAATATTATCTAAAAGATTGATTTTTTTTAAATTTTTACATATTTTATTGATAATTTAACTAAATAATACTCCGTATAATTATGTAACCTTTTATTTTACACAGTAAATTTTAAAAATATGTATTATCATTTTTATTTCTACAGTAACTTTTAAAGAATTGAAATTAAAAATAAATTCATTCGATATAAGTCAAGATGTGTTTTTTTTATATTTTGGAGTACATAGCACTCCCCGTTCTCTAAACAAATACACACCGTTTTTACAAAGATCAAGAAAAATGTTAACAAATGAAGTGTGATTATAATCTGTCTTGGAGATTAAAAAAAATATTATGGGTCATGCTTTCATTTTCTTAAAAAAAAATTGTTCTGGACAAGAAAAATAGAAAGTGAGAAATTTAAAAGGGGAGCATATATAGTCATGAGAAATCCTATACTCTGATCAACAAAATAAGAAGAAAGAACAAACAAGTTCAGAGCTGGTGCTCCACTTCCATAAAGACACAATCAATAAAATACTGGATACATATTTATTCAGGAAAGATGACAATTTCCATGGGAGTTCAACTCCCAGCATGTAAAACATAGTGCATATGGAAAACATCCATATGACAGACAAAATAAGCAGATGAAAGCGAATCGGGTCAGTTATGAAGGTGCCCGAAAGTCTCTCAAGGAGCAGCCGCTTCAGTCATTTCGTGTTCTACCACCACGGGTTCAACTTGGTTGTAGTGGTAGTATAGCTCCCCAACATCGTCGCCCGATAGTTTCTTCCATCCATTTGGGCCCACATGATAAACTGAAGGAAACACAAAGTCGGTAATCAGAAATGCCGGTACTAATCACAAATACCTATTGTTGCAAAACATGCCAACTTCTCAATCCCTCTTATCTCTGCTTTCACGCGTTTCGGTTTGTGGGTTTGGGAATTTGGATTAGACGTCAAGGAACCAAGGGTCTGTTTCGTTCTACTAACTTTTTCAGCTTCTTACTTATTTTTATTATAAACAAATCAGAACATACCTGATCAGAAACAACTTTAAATATAAAAACAATAAGATCACATCAGATAAAACCAAAAAATCAGATCAGATCAGCTGAACAGAACACAGCCTAACTCAACTAAAAACTCGAGCTTGCGGTTCTTGCCCCGAAAAGATTTTATACTCTAACACGTCCTTTCACGTGCAAACAAAATGTCTTGCATGTGAACATTAATATTTTTAATATTGGGTGACTCATGCCTACCTATAAATCAACAAGTCTCAACTCAACAAAAAGCTCAAGCTTGTGATTGTAGACCCAAGAAGGATTTTGTACCAAGTCTTTAACGTAGAGAATTTGTGGGGTGGGGTGGGGGGAGAAAAGCGGAGAGAATCATACCACTCGCAACACCCCCACTAGCTCCATCTCGGAATGTTGCATGATAAATTGCCCGTTTCGCCAACTCTGCAGCTTCCTCAACAGACAAATCAAACCGATACCTAAACAAGTTTTTATTATTAGAAAAAACATAGCAATTAGAAATAGAAATATAGACACATCAATGAGTTTTAACATTTAAAGCTAATATGTGCCTAAAATGTTATTAAAAAAACATTACCCATTATCCAGAACACCATAAGCATATGGGGAACCAGAACCCACAGAAAATCTGTTTCCCTTTAGCCGCCCACCTTCACTATCTACATAATAGAGTCCGGGACCCTATACCCATCAAGCAATTAAGTTTTAGGATAGTTTAGATACAGTATAAAATCCAGCATATAAAAAGTTGTGTTTTTGTGCTATTTATCACACCTTTTCATCCCAGCCAGCAATCATAGTTCCAACAGATAAGCCCATTCCACGGTAAGAATATAAAATGTTTGCCAACAACTTTGAAGCTCCAGCAATTGAAATTCTTCTCTTATTTGCCAGTTCATGGAGACGGCACTGTTTCAATTCCAAGAAGGAAAACATTAAGCAGCTCATTTATAACATATAATAAATTCAAGTTTTCAAATGCTAAGATTTTTATATGCAGGAAAAAATCACCTCCCCGTTTACTTTTCCTGTTTACAGTACACAGTACAAACCAATTAACTATATACAAGCTGAAACCATTCTCCTTAGTTGTTTCACTTTAGTACTTTTAAATTTCATTTTTTATAGAACTTAACTATTATCCAATATGCTTTTCATCCTTCAAATCCTCAGCTTTTCCAGTATCTGATTACCTTTTGCTTTTGTAGAAACATTTCTGATCCTTTAAAATTAATTACTCTTTTTCAGGGTCACTATAAATTCTTAGCAAGTTTTTAGTTACATTTAAAATTCTTCATCAAATTTTACAATCAATATTGGCTAACGGCTATTTCGAGTGTATTGGACTATTGGATGTCTGGCACCTGCTAATGGCCATCTGATTCAGCTTCTTCCGCCGCTCTCCCTCTCGTGTGCGTTCTTGAGATGCTTCAAACCCAAACTATCCTTACATTGAAAAATTTTGAATTTCTAAGCCAACCTTTTCAGATCAAACACTATCCAGTACAGAGGACCTGGTGGCAACTTGTTCAAGTCCACAAGTCCACAACTTTCATGGACTTGACAGTATAAACCCCTTGTTTGTTCCACACCTGGTCGATTTCGTGCTCCACTGTACTACCTGTGATTCTTTATTGATGTGATTTTGAGAGATAATTGAGGGTTTAGAAGATAATGGGGTGCTTGAAGGAGAATGCGTTAGAGACTTAGAGGGGTAGAATCTATGGCAAAAAAAGAAGAGAAAGCAACTTGGTAACTGCTTAGAATCTATGGCAACTTTAAAGCTGATGAACAGAGACCCCAGAGAGAACATGGTTACTGCTTAGAAGACTGAAGGAAAGCAGCAGGTGGATGATTGTCAATTCTCCATCTGGTTATTCCATCTGATTCGGGCAGCTGATGAAAAAGGAGAGTGTGGTTTTGAAAAGAAAAATCCAAAAAAAAATGTGAGGAAACTTTGTGTGGCCACATTAGCTATGATTACCTTGAAACCTACAGTTTTACATGCTAAATCAAATAATTGAAGTTTTCTTGATGGCAAAACAGTTCAATTGGAGGCTTTGGAGCTTTCTTTCATCTACTTCGATGTCCAATTATATGATATATCGACACACATATTATTTGTATCTAGTCTGACACGGTTGTAGATGGGAGAATTGGAGGATTTGGAGCCTTATAACATTCTAATACTCCATCCATCCCAAAAAAGACACACCCTTGACAGGGTAGTCAGGTACGAGAAATAAGAAGATAAATAATTTAAACAGTGTGCACCACAATATGCTTTCCTTAAGAAGAAACTAGAGATAACTTTGGAACGGACGACAAAGGAAAGCTAGAAGATTATGTAGGGACAAAGGTCCTCTTGGATTTAATCCTTTTAAAGTATACTAATACCCCCCTATCCTATTCTACCAAATATGCTCTTCTTTGTGAGAAATGCTAGTCACAAACTAAAAGCTCACAAAATCACAAATTTACTATTTGTTGACCTCATTAAGAGCACAAAATAATTTTAAATAATTGAAAAGTAAAAAATTTATATGCACAAATGGTAACTTTGTGATTTTTGTGAGCATTTAGTATGTAACTCTAGCCTTTCTCCTTCATTTTAGCATCTCATATGTTCACTTTCCTAACTTAAATTCAATTTAACTTTTTATGTTCTCGACTTGTTCTTTTATCAATCATTTCACCTTTTAAGATTGGTGTCCCTATATTTGTTTCTTCCCTTTTAAAATGTAAACTAGCAAAACATCTCCTTTAATTTCATAAAAGCCAGTCAACCCCAAATTTATCATACATTATGGGAGGGATGGAGTAATAAACCATTTGTATTATAACCCTAGCTCATGGACACACTTTCAAACATTAAGTAAAAACAATTTGCTACACATGAATGAAAGCTTGTTAATCTGTTTTTTTTCCTTTTTGAAGTAAATTATGTGTATCATGTCTTTGAGAAGATGCCTTCTATTTTCCAACACATGAATTGGCTAGAAATTGAGAATTTCAGAACAGCCAAGCCAAGCTCTATTCAAGTTTGAGTATTATTTTGGTTGAACCAACAACCTCAATAGTTCAACTTGATCTGCTACAGAAGGTCACTTAATCCTATTCTAATTTTCATGAAATAAATGAATTAGTAAGATAAAATAATAAAATACCTTGACTCCAAGATTCCTGTGCCAAAACTGGCAATCAGCAGCCCCTCCAGCCATTGTACCAAGCATATATGGGTTTATTTCAATGATCTTTTTCACAGATTGTGACGCTGCAAAGAAAATTGTCAAAACATATTCAATATTGTTCACACACTTCACAGTAAACCAGAAAGCAGAAACTTGTAAAGAACACTAATACCTGGCGGTGACAATAGGATTTCATAGCTAATAGTGTATTGTTTCATGTTAGAAAACTAATGAAATACAGAGTTTTACATATAGCGTCCAGCACATGAAAGTTATACACACACATATACACATGCATGTTTATGTGCGGGTAGAATTTGGTTCAGGTGAAAACTGAGAACGATTCAGTATATTCTTGGTCATTGACCTAAAAACTTTGAAGGAAGAGATAAACTTTGAAGGCCAAAATGTGGTGACACAATTTTAAATATGGAGAGGCAAGTTTAACTTCATTCTTCCCAGATACACGCATACATATAGTATGCATGTCTATGTGTTCAACTTCTTACGCGAAAACAAGAGGAGCTCATTCTCAAGCAATGGTAAAGTTACAAATTACAGCTCCCCACACCAAAAAAACTTCCAACTTTGCCAAATAGGAAGAATACAATTCATTTCAAAAGTAGAACTTTCTTCTTTAAACAAGTGTCTAGTTAAATCATAAAATATGCACATATATGTATGTGCATACATCTGTGTATATATACTCGTACATGTTAAATACAGAGGGATAAACTATGCACATACACATATGTGCTTATATGAAAAATATATATACATCTGTGTATATATACAACAACAACCCAGTTGAATCCCACAAGAGTAGGGTCTTGCGGGTTTCAACAGGGTTGTTCTTAGATATATTAAATACGGAGGGATAAACTATGCACATATGCATATGTGCTTATATGCATATATTCATACATCTGTGTATATGCTAATATGCATATGTTTGTGTATACATGCAATATTACAGTACATTATATTCTATCAAATGCTTCTAACTCACTTGTCCCATGTGAAATATCATCATACTCAATTTAGGTGGAAATGGAAACAAATAAATTGCCACCCAAAATAATCAGCTTTGACACGGTTTGATGTATGATGATATAATTAAAAACTGAAAACTAGAAAGACTTACATATGTACCCTCCCATGCTAGCACGTGAATCAGCTGCCACCATCACACCATCCTTAAAAATAAAAGCCAGGGTGGTGGTTCCCTTTGCAGGCTTCACCATTTGGATCGCCTTCTTCTGAAACCCATCAAACTAAAACACACCAGAAGAATGGTATATGAGACTCGTACTACATAAAACTAGAGAACAGGACACTTTCCACCTTAAATCAATTCTAAACTAAGCATATGCAATTAGAATTACCAAAACATGATTATATCAAACTCACATCAGTAGCATTTGGTATCTGAAATGATGGGGCTCTCGGAATCCCATCGAACAACTCAGAACTCTCTCCACGAATTGGGGCAGTTGAATCGATCCCACTGAAATCAAGTGTCATCATCCTTACAACCTTTTAACACAAAGATAAATAGAAACCATGAGCTATGCACTTACTATACATTAACACATCTTTTTCAGCAACTTCCAAAAAAAATACAATCACTACGGTAACAACAATTATGATTGCGGAGCATTAACTAATAGTGTACCATGCATGTGAACATCTATCCATAACTTTAAACTGTCACAACATATAAATTTTCTATAGTAACATGACTAACGATTGTGGAGAATTATGCAAAAAATTATTCATAACTCTCAAAACATATCAATTTGATACAATGACTACTCAAAGTGGGATGTCGCGTGCAAAAAAATTGTCTGTTATCGGGCTCTTTGTCCTATCAAGAAGAAGTAAATCTCGAATAGAATGCACCTTCACTTGCAACTGAGATCATTTACAAAGTTCTTAAAATGAAAATTAAAACAGAGAATCAAAAGCATACTATATCCAAAAATCAATTTCTAAACTTTCTAAAATCAAGATCTAAAACTTAAACCCTATAATATATGTTTCAATAGTTTGATAATAGCAAGGTTTTTATCATTCTCTCGCACAATCACATGATTCTCAGCTTCAGAACTAATAACGAAATTATTTTTACCCAAACCAAACCACTTTCAATTGTTCAAACAACTCGAGACTCTTTTCTCTTCTAACAATGCAATTCGAATCTAATCTGGGAAAGAACTTGAAACGGAAAGAATTTCACAAGCAAAGTGCTGCAAAACGCATCGCAGTTCGGACACAGCATCTTTGAAAATACTACCCCCAAAATTCAATATCAATCCGAAACCTAATAATATATCTACACAAGTAGGAAACGAAAATCAAAGTGAAACATGGAGAATGATGTAGATTTGACTTACCCTAAATGGCGATCCGGGGAGAATGAAGAAAATGAAGTTCCTTCAAAACGAAGATGCCAAAGCGGGGCAAAAGATTTACGGAGATTAGGCTGATAATACAGCGCCCGAGCAAGGACTGAGTATAAGAAGATTTCCTAGCCTTTCTTGCGCTACACACAGGCCTATAGGGGTTTGCTTTTTCTTTTTCTTTTTTTCTTTTTAATCAAGGGCTTCTTTGGAAATATTATTAAAAATTAACGTTAGCGTTTTGAATAAAATTTTAACGGTGTAGATTATTTTAACGTTAGAGATTAGCGTTAGCGTCTTGGATAAAATGTTGTCATAGTCCCCGTAGATAGTTTTTCAAAATGTTAACGTTAATTGCTAACTCTATTCTCAAACAGGTCCCAAGTTCGAAATAATCTGTCCACAAACAAAAATGAGACACTCTAATTTTAAAAGTCACTCTATAAAATTTTTGATATTTTTAGTTGACAGGGTTTAAAAAAATTGTTGAAAATTAAAACATTTGTAATTAGATGAGAGAGAATCGTTAGTAGGTTTATATTGTTTACCAAAATATGATATGAAGCAAGTGTAAAAATTTTAAGCAATGCTAGGAGTACAAAAAAGATGTACCCCAAATGTACACCACTCTCTTCTCCATCACCCATTTTTATTTAATTTTTTTTGAATTTCTTGCCTATTTATGTGGACAAGGAGGGGTGTGAGACATATGGGGTACACCTTTGGAAAGGTGTACCCCTAGCATTTTTCAAAAAATTTTATTTTTTCATTTGACTTTTTTTTATTAAAGTTTGTAAACCTCAACCTCCATATACGAAAAACATTAAATTGTGCTTTGGTGGAAACATAATATCCTATTAGTTCCTTTTCAAATACATTTTTGAAATATTAAGTTTTACAAAGTATATATGTATAAATATCAATATTAATGATCAAAGTGTTATATCGAACCGTAAAAAATCAAATGAAAATATTAAATTCGGATGAAAGGAGAAATTTTTATGATAAAGTATAAGAAATTTTGTGTGAATTTTTATAAGAAAATAATGTTTAAATTGGGGTATATTGAACATTTTTAAGAAGAGGCTCATTAACTACATAAAGGTATATAGAAAGTCCAAACATATATTACTCCGCAACACAATATACAGAAAATATATGTATATATAAAAAATACATCAAAAATTCTACAATAAAAGATGTGAAAAGATTACTCTAAATTAGCATATGATTAGAGATAAATATATGTAAAATGATATAGTTTAACCATATGAATAGTAAATAAAAATATTTTAAAGGCCGGAATGAGAGGTACCTCCCACTAAAAGATGTAGTGGTGGTGTGTACTTTGATTGCAAATTTTACATTTTTATATTCATTGGTTGTGATATGATCATTTGATTGGGTAAAGAGAGAGAAATTCTTTTTGTCATTCATTTAGAACAAAAAAACTTCCACAAAAAAAAAGAGGAAAAAGAGAGGAAAAGTTAGAAAGAGGTAGAGGTGGACATGGTACGGTTTCGGCACGGTTCCGGTTCCGGAACCGCCGGTTCTGGTACCGCCACCCATGTCACTGGAACCGTCACCGTGCCGGCCGGTACCGGTTCCTGTTCCCGGACCGGCCAGTTNTTTTTTTAAAATTTTTAAAGTATAAAATTGTAAATTTGCAATTGTTTAAGGAAAGAATGAAATAAAAAATCTAAAAATGTAGTTGTTATTTAAATATTTTAAATGAATAATACACTAACTTAAGAACAACCACATTTAATATCCTGACGGTTCAAAAAAAGCGACGAGGTAAAGAACCGTAAAGAAACCCTCGAAGAAGCTTATATATCGCTCACCTAAAAAAACTAATTACATATTTACATTAACATAAAAAAAATTTATAACTTATTCTTCAGAACTCGGACTTCCATCTGTGGTTGCATTCATGTAATGCTCCGATTCGAGTTGGTACGATGACTCTTGAGCCCGACGTCTTGCCAAGAGCCAATCTTGGTTGCAAACCAGTGTTTTAAGAGATTCAGCGTTAAGACAACTTCGGTAGTCGGTTAGAATGTTGTCGCCAACACTAAATTCTCGTTCAACTGCTACGGTTGATATCGGGACGGACAACACTTGTCTTGTTAGCATGCCGAGACATGGGAACATGTGTTCGTTCCGCTTCCACCATCCGCGCACGTCAAAATCGACGTCGTCGTCATCGTAATCGCATGGCACACCCTGGTACATTGCAAGTTCGTTGTGCGAGCTTACTGTTGTGCCACTTGAACTCGTCGAAGACCGGGCATGCTTCCCTTTCTTTGCAAGAAGGCCACCGACTATTCCGGCAAAACCTTTTTTTGATTTCGGGGGCGAAGGTGCTGCTGTTTCTTCTTGTACAGTACCGTATAACCCTTGATATTCCTTAAACAAATCCTCAAAAAGAGTTATAGCATTATCTCTTTCATTTTTCCATTCTACTAAATAGTTGTAGTAATAACTATTTTTATCTAAAAAACAACTATAGTAATACTCAATTAGAATTTTAAAATTTTCAATCTTAAATCGTGGATCACAAATAATATCTATTTTATAAATATCAGGAATGTACAAATAATAAGAACACCATTTATCTCATAGCGTCCCCTCTACCTGAATAAATCTGGTCGAATTCTTCATCCGTCATAGCATCCCCGATTATGTGATCGGGGATAGTAGGAAAGGAAGAGACAGAGTATCTTCCTCGAGAACCGCGTCCGCGTGAGGTCGAACCGTCGGAGGTGGCTTTAGCTTTGCCTTTACTCAATCTTCGGGTCACGTCGCCCATATCCACGGATCTTCTACCGGACTCTCTCAACATTTTAATATATATTTTTTTGATATTAAAAAAATATATTAAATTAGGAAAATTTTAAAAAAATTGAAATTTTATATATTAAAATTTCGAAAATTTCAAAAAGTAAAGAATATATTTAAAATATAACTTATATATTTTTTGATATTAAATAAAATAAAAATATTAAATTTCAAAAATTTAAATTAATTTCGAAATTTTATATATTAATATATAAAATATTTTTAAAAAATATATAAAAGATTATAATAAGAATATAAGATTGAGATTTGAGAATTGAGAGATTGAGATTTGATAGATTGATAGATTGAGAGAATGAGAGAATGAGAGATGAATTGAGTGATTTTTTTTTTTGAAAAACTGGAAGTATTTATAAGTTTATCCCCCCCCCCCCCCCCCCCCCCAATGCCTCAAAGTCTCAAACGGCTATTTAGCCGTTGAGGCAGGCCCCCCTCTGCTTTTTCGCAGCAATGCAACGGATAGGAAGCAAAAAAGAAAAATAAATATACCGGAACCGGACCGGTACCGTCGGTGCCGGTACCGAAAATTGGGTACCGGAATCGGTACCGAAGTGGGCGGTACCGGTATCGGTTTCCGGAATCGGTGAGACGAACGAGACGGCGTGACGGTGGCGGGTACCGGCGGTACCGTCGCCGGTCACGTACTGAACCGGTACCGTGTCCACCTCTAGAAAGAGGTTCTTGAAGAAATTTCTTTTTTCTAGCAATTGAGAATGTTCTTTGGGTAGGGTATCCCTGAATTTTGTAATGGTTTATCAAATATCAATAATTTTGTTAGTAAAATCTTAAGTCACTCAAAAACTAAACTAGACATATCTTATATGAACTCGTGTAATAAAGAAGAACTTGTGTGTTTGCGACTTTTGTAGAAAAATAAAAATAATGTAGAACACACAATCTTTTTAAAAAGAAAATAAATATTTTTTCAAAGAAATTTAGATGATTTTTTTTAAAAGGAAGATAATTATAGAACTTCCTCCGTTCTAAAACTATCTTTCCGCTCGTGTTTACGAGGTCTGACCGATTTTATTTTTCAATTCAATTTTTTTGATTGTAGGTGTAAACTTAAAATTTATATATTTAAAAACTACATCAAAAGTTATACAAAACAAGATGTGACAAGACTATATTATTTTATCAAATAACTAACGAAAATAGATAAAAAATGTTAGGATATTAATTAAATATTTTTCAAAAGTTTGTGAGAGGGGAGATTCTAGAGAATTCTAGAAGCAGGTGGAGATGTGTAGAATTCTCTAAAATGTTGTAGAATTTTCTAGAGAAGTATAGAAGTCTCTAGAAATGTGCAGATTAGTGTAAAAGTTTCTAGAATTTTCTAGATCTTTCTAGAGAAGCCTTGATGTCTTTAGAAGCGTGTGAAACAAGCTGACGACTAACCCTTGACCTGCAAATCAAACTTGCCAATGATGGATGAATCACGATGGAACTTGTTACGCAAGAAAAAAGATGACGACTAACTAATCAACGTGCGATATCCCTCGAATTTAATCATGAATGTATGCAGATCGTATAATGAAGGGGTTCCTAAAAGACTCGCTCGAGAAATGCGTTGACCACTGACTGATCCTTAGGAAATAATTCTTGAAAGACCTTGTTGTATGGGTGTGATTGTACGAACATTAGGTTTGAATATTGTGACAAACAAACGATTAATATTCGTGAACCGTTAAAGTTTATCTGTAACCTACATCCCTACGTTGACTACAATGTGTGTTTTCCACCTGACCCATTGATGGTGGTCAATCTTCTACATGAGATTTGTTACTTTATCTCTATAACGAATTGTCAAAATCTCTTTCTGAAATCAGGTGATGACTTACCTCTGAAGATAGCAATGCCTGGTGTGGCAAGAACTCTATGTAATAGCGATGACTTTGACTTTTAAACTCGTACCATGCAAAACAATTGACTAAATCGTAATATAGCACGTAATCTAAATAAATGCATTTAAGGAATCATCGTGCCCCTATTGAACCAGTCTGTATGTTACTGCGATTCTTGGAGAATCTCGCTGAAAATCTCAACGGTGAAGATTTTACTTTACCAAAAATGAAGACACGTTACATATGAGCGAGAAGGCAGTGTTGTGTCTCGTCACCTGAAGCATCAAAACTCCCCTTTGATCAGATCTCATGAAGATTTGCTGAACGAAAGGTTGTTATGAAACCGTTACAAGTAAACTTGTGAGAGCTTCTGTAACTTAATTCTCAAAATGAAGACCCGCAAGTTTTAAGTACCTGAACATTGTCAAAGATCATGGACGTAACCACATGCTGAGGAATCTTCTTTCTATTCAGTAAGAGAGACATTGATAAATAAATGATTGAATTAATTGTTACTAAGAATATATCTTATTATAGATCCGAGCAAAACGAACCGAAACTCTGATGACTCGGAAACATTGCTGAACACGAGTAATAATCGAATAGTAATCCGTTATGTGTAGACATCAGTAGTTGACTCCTCTTGAGAGCAATACAAGTATGATGGGATAATGCCATGAAACTGACTATGACGATATGCTACATGAATTGTGACGTAATAACGCAAAAGGGAGAAGAATAACTCGAGATAGACTTACGAAACGACTTCTAACGCTCGAAGAGTCTAATGGTGAAACAAACCTTCCTGAACTTAATTGTCAACCACACAAAAGGGGTGAACATTGTTACAATCCTGTTAATCAATGAGAAATCTTGAGAAGATCTCATGCTGACGTCATAAGCTAACGAAACAAATGAACTTCGAATACGAACTGAACGACCGATAAAATAACTGACGTTATGAAATCTGAAAGCTTAAATATTGTTTGTATGCACTGTGGAGGTACTCCATTCATGTTCGTTGAAATCAAACTCAGTAAGGACCAAATTATGAATTTGACGAACTTGTCGTATGTCTTGAACGAAAACACGAATACAAAACTCCTAAGATAATACCTCGAATGATAAACGAAGAGAATTTCCGTGGGAATGACATGGCTAATCACCTAACCATAATCGTAATGCGGATGGGAAACCAATTTGTTGTAACTCCGTACCTTAGAAGAATTTCGGGGACGAATTTCCTTTAAGGGGGTAAGAAATGTAACGCCCTAGAAACCGGCTTAGAAGTTAATCAATAATTAAATAAATAAGAATTATTTATCTATGATAATTTATTCTTTTAAAGAATTAAAAGATAATTTAGAGATTTTAAATGTCTCAATATAACAAAACTAATCTGATTATAATTGTAAAGATTTAAATTAAAAGACTGATTGGTATTAATTAATCGAAGGAATTAAGACGGAACAGGTGCGACTTATAAATACTTTTTGATTAATTATAAAAGTTACTCCCTCCGTCCCCAATTTGATTACAAATTGCGGGTTATGAAGTAAAATTTCCTACTTTTTGAAATCATTTTATTTACAAATTGGTATATCAATAAGATATAAAAATTACATATTAAAAAACTACGTCAAAAGTTTTACAAAATAAATGGTGACAAGAATATTTTATCTGATCAAATACTTAATGAAATCGCATAAACAAACAAAAGTTATCGAGAGGAGAGAGAAAAAAGATTGTAATCTATTTAGGGACGGATGGAGTATATCATTGGGTAGGGATCGAACGGATCTCAATTCGGAGTAAGTTGGCTTGAAAAGTTGAAAAGTGTGTTTTTACTCGGACATGTTATTTTTAAACTTCAGGTACAAAACCCTAGGCTGTTACGTGCTCCTTCTTCGATTCAACACTGCCACCTATCTTCTTCTTCTTTGACTGAACGGCGCAGCGACAGAGGAGACCCACAAATCGTCGACATTGATGCATCGGCGTCTTCGACAATTGGCGTGAGATGGGTCAGCGTCATCCCTACGGCTCTCCTCCCTGATGGCTTTCGGTGATTGGAGTCTCGGCGAGAGAAGTAGTGACGCCGACGACGGACTGCAGAGGCGCAACGACCAGCCGGTGAACCAGCGACGGCACCCAGGCTACAGACTGACGACGACGTCTGGACAGAAACTCCGGCGAAACAGCGGGGAACTCCGGCGAGGGCTATTCTCTGTTCCAGCGAACCAGGAAGCTCCGGCGATTCCCTCTGTTCGGGTGACTGGTTCGAGCAGCAGCAATGGCGCGGGTCCCCTTTGCTCTAGTGACCTTCAGGGATGTCCAAGACGAATTGGGCAGCGACAGTGCACGTACTCCGTCAATGATTATTGGACAATGCTTTCCTTGAATTTCAATTGAGCAAACGAGGTGAGTACGTGGACATCTAACACTATAATATACATCTAGGTTTGAAATTCTGTTCATAGTTATTATCGTGGTTGATCTATTTTATTTATCCTTATAATTGTTGCTTATAATTGTTGATTGTGGTTTTGGGAATTGTTGCCATTGAATCGAAAAGGGTAGTATGCATGACTTAGGCATTGATTGTCTTGTTAAGGTGCTCGATAATGTTTAGGACATTAATATGAACCTATTGGTGTTGTTGTTATGAGAATTGTTATTGGTTGATGCTTTGTTGATCTGTGTCTTTGTCTAGGATTGATTCTGAGATTCCATGTGAGCATGACGGTAATCATGGGCCTTTGGTTCTGAAAGGCCACTATTTGATATGTTGCTGAATAATGAATTGAGATTTGAACTAAATTAATCTCATTGGTGATTATTGTGAATTGTGAATAATATTGGAAATATGCCACCTAGTTTAATTAGGCGGACCCGAATTGGATTGAATGATTGGATCACCAATAGAATGAGTCTAGAGTTTAGGCCATTGCGGGGCGTCGTCGCACACCCGGTGGTCTTGGGTTAAAAACGTACGTACGGAAGTCCTTGAACTGTTTTGGCATCGCAGAGACAGGGGCTTCAACCCGCCTAGAGTGAATCTCCTTTGGGTTTTCTAGAGCTGGTTCTTTTATAGCATCGCTTGGGGTGCCATGACTCATAGGTATATGAATTGCCTTAGCCATCATAGGTTAAGAGGTGTGATTTGGATAAATGAATATGAATATCGTAAGATGTTTCGAATATTAAATATTACTATACCTGTGTGCATGATGAGCGGAAATAAATGTTGACTATGCATGTTATATCTTGTGTGTCGTATGATCGTTGCCCAGCATGTTGTGTGCATGATATCATGTGGTAATTGTGAATGAGTGGATTCATCTAAGTGTATGTTTGAACTGTTAGATATTTCTCACTCACCTTATCGCTGAGCGTGTAGTTTGTTCTATCTTTCTACACGTAGGTAATAACAAGCTAATCCTGGAGGGCACAGAGACGGAGGAGATGTACGGATGCAGTACTCGAACCGTTAACAGATATGGTGGTTGTACTGTAACTCGTTTTCTGATAATGATCTATTAAAAATGTTTATTTAAAATAATAGTTTTGCTTCCGCGCTGTTTTGAATTAACTCCGATAAACGTTTAAGTTCTAATTGAAATGTTTGGATGTTTAATTAATTTTTTTTTTGATTTATTGGAAATATTGTGTGTGGATACCTATTTAGTAACAACCCGGTTCGCTAACCTATTTATTCGGGTTACGCGGGTTGGGGTGTTACAGAGGTGTAGAGAGGTGTTGTAACGCCTCGAAATTAGGTCTATCAGAATTAATTAATTGATAATTAATGAATTACTGAGAAGGACCAAAAAATAAATGATTTATAAAGTTTGTCGATAAATAATGAAAATTATATCATTATGTAGAGTTTGACTGTTTGACCCCAACGGTTCAATTGGATTTCAATTTGGAGAAAGTTGGACCAAAAAGTGTACCCTGACTGGGACCAAATATTAGTCCCAATCAGGGACTACGTACCAAACGACGCCCTGTTCAATTACGCCGATTCCAAAATCTCAATCACTGTGCAATTAAGGAAGATGCAAACTCTATGTCTTCTTCCTCCTTCACTTGGCTATTTAAGGAGAGCCAATTCTTCCATTTCATCACCAAAATATTCATTCTTCCTCCTATATTGTTCCTTGCTGAGAATAGAGTACAGTGGTGTTGTCATCTTTGTTTGAGGTCGCCGGAGCAGTGAGATAGAGTCGCCGGAAGTTTCGCTGGAAAATTTTCAAAACCTCCCTTACGCTTCAAGGTAAGCCCGTAGATATATCTAAGGACTAGAATGTTCATATAGGTCGTTTCTACGTTCATAAATGGTCATTTGATTGAGTTTTGTGTTTGACATGTTTGAAAAACCAAGAATCATAAACCTTGAATTTGATGTTAAAAATATGTTTTAATAATTCTAAAGTGATCTATGAACCTTGGAGAACATCTCTATATAGTTTAATTGAAGTTTGGTGACTAAAAATAGTATTTCTGAAAAATGGACCGAAGATTGAAGAAGATGAACAGTAGCTGAAAAACAGCAGGGTGGATCGATCACCTGGAGTTTTTCTTTCACTATCTGGATCGATTCGGACTACTGGATCGATCCCCCAAAATTTTGACCCGAAAATTTGTCTGAAAATGATATTTTTAAGCTTTAAAATCCCATTTTTGATACCAATTGATTATGATCATTTTAAAAATGATTTTTCATGACACAAATGATGTTTTTAATAAATTAAAATGTTATGTGATGAATGACGGTAAGTCCCGGCGTTACCACTCGAGACTAGACCGCTATTTGGTATCGAATGTTATGTTGATTGATCATTATGATGAATAAATGTTATGAATGATTATGAATGATAAACCAACTGATTAGAATGACTATTGATGACTTAATCATAATTAAAAATGGATATATTGATAATCATAACGAAAATGTATTGTTAAGAGTATCTAGAACAACTCTAAAATATACCCATGGTGAAATTGATTTTGAAAGGTATCTAGAAGAACTCTAAGATATACCTATATAAGTTAGGCCTTGCGGGTATGATGCCCGGTAGCTAGGGTTAAAATGTACGCACGGGATCCAAGAACCAAACTTGAGTACCTACTCGTTTGGGGGTACCACCCAACCCAACAGTGAACACTACGATGTCGGTTTTTGGTTGACCTTAAGCGAAGGTAAGTTTAAGATTTGAAAACTCTTTTTAAAATATATCTTAAACTAGGCCTAGCTTAAGGATTAGAATATCTTGAACTAGAATTAGTTTAAGAATGGAACTGGCCTTAGACTAAACATAGTTTAAGGATATTGTTGAATATTGAATATTGAATATGAATGTTGAATATTGAGATATTGAAATAAAAATATTGAGAATATCATGAATGAATTATATATTGTGTGCATGATATTAAATGGTTGTTTGTGAATTGAGATTCAATTTATGTGGATGTTCGACGCTTTAGATATGCTTACTCAGCTTCATCGCTGAGCGTGTAATATGTTTTATTTGCTACACGCAGGTAGGCAGAATGAATGATTGACATGTTCCTGGCAGCGGAAGGGGCGAGACTGTCATGGTGGAATTTGTGATTTCAAAATGAATAATTGTGTTGTTATTAAACATGGTTTAAATTGCTTCCGCACTATTATTAAACACTCCGTATTTTGCTTCAGTTATGTATCGAATAATATTTATGATGAGTAAAAGTGTTGAAATGTTTTAAATTTTTACGATTTCCAAATTAATACGTTAGTCCAAAAGGGGCTGCAGACCTAGACGGATTATGGTGTTACAAGTGTTCATAATACAAAGAGTAAAGTGTGCTACACGTGTAATTGTAATCTCGCATGTACATTTTTTCTATATAATACAAAGTTTTTTTTCTAAAGACACGTCTTTGTTTTATTGAGTGTGTGTGAGTGTACAAGAGTTGGGTTGTGTGAATTGGGGAAAGAAGTCGAGACGCGCATCAATTTCCCAACAAGAAAGTAATTTAAATTTGACCATGTGAATAGTAACTGTAAAGATAGTTATAGGATGGAGGGAGTAAGAAATGAGTAGCTTTTAAAAGATGAGCTCCTTTATGAAGGGCCCTCTCAGACACGATCAAATGGTCACTAGACAAAGGTAAATTGGACTTTAATAGCAGATTCATGACAAAGAATTAAGTCTGTATATGATATTTAGCATAATTGTCTTTCAGTACAATTCTCAGAAATCAAACTCAGGTGTACCGGTACACAAGTAGCTTCAAGAATTTATGGCTTGATGGAGGATTTTTATTTCAAAAATGCTAGGGGTACACCATTTGGGGTACCCTAGCATTCCTCTTTTTATTTTATTTGTGAAAAATTACTTGGTTTTACAATGGTATAGTATAGGAATACGTGGTCTAAAATAGAAGGTTCCCAATAATATGTACGAACGAACTCATAAACGGAAGCTCTTGCAACACGTATCCAACCAAAAATAGATTAACAAATTTAACTATGATAGCGAAATGGACTGACTCCCTGCAACTTCTACATCTTTCATTTATAACCCCTAAAAATCTCTGTACTTCCACCATCATCTTCTTCTTCACCATTCATCATTCTTCTGCCCTTCTGAAACTATTCTGATCTGGGAATTCAACAGTAATCCGGAGTACCATATATATCTTCATACATAAACTTGCACATCCATATGGGCATTCTAACGTATTGTCAGTATTGCATAATTTGTGTTTTAGGATAATGTTCATGAAGCCTCCTTGGATGTTGTTCTTCTGTTTTTCTTTGTAAGTTTTCAGTTAACTTTCATTAGCTTGAGATTGATACAGCCATGGTGTTCTTTTTTTGTTTGAATTTCATACTATTTGTGTTTTTGTTCAACAGATTTTATATACAGAATTTTTTTCCCTTTGTTTGCTTTCCACTTCTCTTGGTTTCATCCCTTGCGTGAGGGTTTTTTCCTTTTTTTTTCAAAATATTTCAGCTGAATGAATTTTTGGATGCTCTATCAGTTTAAATTGTAGCCTTTGATTTGAAAACCTGCGCTCCGTGGTTCATATAGGCATAATGTACGTAACGATATTGATTTTGATTATTTATTTAATAGGTTATCGTTTTTTTCTGAAATTTTGGCATGAAGCAGTTTTTTTGGAGCTTAGTTATGTTGATGTGATGAATGCACATAAAGTATTTGCTTATATGCCCGCTTTAGTTTTTTATGGTACTGTTCTGATACCGTGTTTTTAATCTGTGCACGTTCCCTCCCGGTGCAGGTGATTCCGGAATTGGGATGTTCTTTCGTTCTTTAGATGTAGAAAAAAAATGGAAAGTTCAGAGATAGAAGAAGTTTTATCCTCAATTGGCGAGCCAAAGGTATGTATTAAGCATGATGTATGTGTATTCATTAACTTCTGTCTAATCTTTCTTACCTAGCATTTGTTCATATGAAAACCTTGGGTTAATGAGTTAAATTACATTCGAATTGAAGTTTAGGCTGGATGTTCTATAGATGGTTTCTCTTCATATTTTGAATGCTTATGATTTTTGTATAGAACCTGCCCCTTACAATTCCCTTTTATGTTTACCTTTTTAATTCCCTATATTAAGTGTAAATTTGTGTCATTGTTTGATGTGATGTAATTCATTTTATCGTTGTGAGGCAGTTGGTTGTTACTTTGTTTGGAACCTAGAAAATGTTTGTGAGGAGAATAGAGACCAAAATTTGGAGGAAAGATAGTTTGGAGAAAATCAAAATAAAAATCAAATTCATATAACATTTCCATGTATTTGTTCAAATCCATTCATTCATTCATTTCTATTATGCAGAGGGTAATAAATGTAAATGTGAGTCATTGTTTTTGAGAATTTTTACCATATTTGATTTTTCTTCATATTTTTCAAGGTGTAACCAAACTCTTTTTTTAAAATGAAAATTCCTTTCTCTATCAATTCCTCTTTCAATCAAGGGGTAACCTTCGTAAAAACAGTCCTTTCTCTACCAATCTCTGTTTCAAAATTGACATTAATTTTCTACTTTTTCCAAAGAACTCATGTAACTGAGTGTTACACATTAGCTGGCTGTTTCTATGAACGCTTATGAATTTTTGATGGATGAGTTAGTGACAAATATGTTGCTGCTGGTGTAGTTACATGGAGGAATGTGCAAGAGTCTGTATGTGGTTTATGCAAAAGTATTGGGTATTTTTCCAGAACTCGAAGCAGCGCGGCCTAGAAGCACTACAGGTATTCAGGCATTATGTGCTTTGCACATAGCCCTTGAGAAGATAAAGAATATCCTTCAACATTGTGCTGAATGCAGTAAACTTTACCTGGTAACTCTTTTTTTTTGTATTGCTTCTATGATCTTCAATTATTGATAATTTGGGGTTCTGCGTCTCTGGAATTCATTAACAAATGATTACAACTCTTTCCAACCATGTTTGCATTGCACTGCATTGCTGAAAAAACTAATTTAGGCCCGATTCTGTTCATACTATGACTTTACCACCAACCTAGGACTAGCATACAACAAAGCATTGTGTAATCCTAACTCTGTTGGAGTATAAGGTCAAGACGTACTCATCCTTACACATGTAGAAAAAGAGCCTGTTTGTGGTAGACCTTTGATGCATCAATGCATTTACTACCCAAAACTTCATAGGAAGTAAGAAGCAAAGGAACTAAGGAAGTATAATGTCTCATTTTGATTTAGTCCAATATTTACCTAAAGCCAAATTAACGTAAAAGTGACTTTTTTTCCTCCATTGGCAAGGAACACATGATATAGAAATTGCTCTAAGGGTTTTTATGTTTAGGTGGGACCAGAAAATATAACATCCAATGCATTGCCATTCTCTCACCTTTATTTACCTGAAACTAAAACATTGTCAGTAATGACTCCTTGAGCTTAATTGGCAATAGACGCTAACATTATATATTTTCGATAATAACTGTTGACTTTATTGGCAAGGGATATGTTTTCCCCCTCTCTTTGACCGCTTAATTGGTAATTGTTATGCTTTATCTGACCAGGCTATAACTGGAGACTCTGTTGTACTTAAATTTGAGAGAGCAAGGTGTGGACTTGAAAACAGTCTAAACCGAGTTGAAGATATAGTTCCACAGGCCATTGGTTGCCAGGTAGTTTTTGTCTCTGTTAGGGGAAAGCCTTGGTGCGCCCAGTGCTCCCCAACTTGCAGGGGTTGGGGGCGGAAACACCATATATTACAAAGCCTTCCCCTCACTATTTTTGCCAAGAGCAACTCAACTGTTGCCCTTCTGCCAAGGCTCGCCCTCATTTTTTATCTCTACTCATTAGCATAATTAATCCCTCTGTCTCCAAATGAATTACACATTTTCCTTTTCTATCTGGCCCAAAATAAAGTACACACTTCTTTCTTTCTTTAAAAGAAAAGAATAAAGTGGTGGCAACAATTCTCTCTCCTCTAAACGAATTCTATCCACATTTTTTTCAACAAATCTCTTAAAATTCGTGAAGTCAAACTACATTCATTTGGGTAGGGAGGGAGTATTTTTTTGTTGCTTTTATAAAGTTTCTTTTGTTCAACCAGTTTGTGCATCTTTTCTCTTCGTTGTCTATTATTCTACACACTCATAACTTACCACATTGGCTCTCATACTTTAATAGTAATGAGAAAATTTCCTGGATTCAGATATCGGATATTTTGAATGAACTTCATGAGATTGTCTTCACACTTGATCCGAATGAAAAACAAGTGGGCGATGAGATAATTGCGCTACTTCAGCAAAGTAGAAAGTTTGATAGCAGCGGGAACGACAACAGTGAACTTGAATCTTTTCATCAGGCTGCTTCTAGACTTGGTATTACCTCCTCAAGGGCAGCCCTCAGAGAACGAAGAGCTCTGAAAAAGCTCATAGAAAGAGCACGGGTTGAAGAAGATAAGAGGAAGGAGTCTATTGTTGCTTACCTTATGCATCTAATGAAAAAGTACTCAAAGTTGTTTAGAAGTGAACTCTCTGATGACAATGATTCACAAGGGTCAACACCGTGCTCTCCAACTGTCCAGGGATCTCTTGGGGATGGTATTGGCCATGTACACGCCTTCGACCGGAAATTTTCAAAGCTCAATTCTTTCAATTTTAAACCTAACCCTAGGAAATTAGACCAGATAATTGTGGTTCCTCCTGAAAAGCTAAAGTGCCCAATCTCGTTACAACTCATGTATGACCCGGTGATTATTGCATCTGGCCAAACATATGAAAGGATTTGCATTGATAAGTGGTTTAGTGATGGGCACAATACATGCCCAAAAACTCAGCAGGAGCTTCCTCATCTCGGTTTGACTCCTAATTACTGTGTGAAAGGCCTGGTTGCGAGTTGGTGCGAACAGAATGGTTTTCGTGCTCCTGATGGTCCACCAGAGTCTCTTGATCTTAACTACTGGAGGCTGTCATTGTCTGAAAGTGAATCTGAAAATTCCAAATCAATCGAAAGTATTGGGCATTGCAAGTTGAAGAGTGTTAAGGTGGTGCCCTTGGAGGATAGTGGGATTATTGAGGAAGCTGAAGTTGATGAATCTGAACAGGATACTGAATTTTTTCTTTCGAACTTCACAGAAATTAGATATGAGGATTATTTGACTGTTCTAAACTGTGACGATGATCTCACAAAAAAATGCGAAGTGGTAGAACAGATGCGACACTTGCTAAAGGATGATGCAGAAATCAGAATTTTTATGGGGGCAAATGGCTTTATTGAAGCTTTGCTGCAGTTCTTGGAGTGCGCTGTCGAAGCTAGGAATGGGATGGCTCAGGAAATTGGTGCTATGGCTCTCTTCAACCTTGGTGTAAATAACGACAGGTGCTCTGTTTTAAATTTAATTACACAGTCAATTTTTCTTTTTCCTGTGAATCTCAACAGATGTTTTATGAAGTTTTATTATTGTTATCATCATTTCGCTTAATTTTTTCCCTCAGAAACAAAGAAATGATGCTGGCTGCAAGAGTACTTCCGTTACTCAAGAAAATGATCACAAATTCTAGCTGCCTTGGAGCCATAACCGCACTTTACTTGAACCTTTCTTGCCTTGAAGAAGCCAAGGCTGTAATAGGAGCCAGCGAAGCAGTGCCCTTCTTGCTGCGAGTCCTTCAACACGAGTCTGGTCTTCAGTGCAAATTGGATGCTCTCCATGCCATCTTTAACCTCTCCAACCAGCCAAGCAACACACCACATCTCATGTCAGCTGGGATTCTTGATGCTCTTCTAGCCCTGATGACATTCTCAGATGATCATACATGGACAGAAAAGTGCATAGCCATTCTCATAAACTTGACATCTAGCAGTCAATCCGCGAAAGAACAAATGATATCATCTCCTGGGCTTATTAGTAGTCTAGGGTCTGTTCTGGACATCGGCAAGCCAGTGGAACAGGAGCAAGCTGCAGCTTGTCTTTTGATACTTTGCAGTGGAAGTGAGAAATGCAGTGAGATGGTGCTTCAAGAAGGAGTGATACCTTCTTTGGTGTCAATGTCAGTTAATGGAACCGTGAGAGGGAAACAAAAAGCTCAGAAGCTATTGATGCTTTTCAGGGAGCAGCGACAGAAGGAGCAGCAGCAGCCCTCAACAGCTGTAGTTATTAAAGGTACTACTAGGCAACAACCACCTGAACATAGTGGTGACTCGGCAACAATCTCCTCCGAAGATCTCAAGCCATTGTCCAAGTCAGCTTCAAGAAGAAAGTTGGAGAAGGCGTGGACTTTCTTTTGGAAGAACAAGAGCTTTTCTTCGTCGTACCAATCCTCCTCTCACTAATNCCCCCCCGTCCTAAAGGGCATTGGGTTGTCTGCATTAGAAATTCTCTCTTCCCTTCACAAAAGGAGAGAGTGCATACCAAGGACAAGCTTGAAGTTATCTTTATAGCCATGGCAGTTCGATGCAAGAGCCCGAAATCCACCCCAATATGGTTGGCCCAAAATGAGAGTTGGCAAGAGGATGCACTGTACGAGCAACTAGGTCTATATGAACCTGAAAGCTTAAGGTATGATCTCGTGGTACTAGCCAATCCTATAAACTCGTCACTGCCCTTGTAATTTTTGTTAAAGAAACAACTCAAGTGCATGTCAGCTTAGGAAATGTTTTATACTTTAACACGCCCCCTCACGTGCATGAGCCTTGAACGTGGAAATTATTACTCTATATTTTTTAAACTGGGTGGCAACGAGGTTCGAACTCGTGACCTCATCAAGACTCTAACACCATGTTAAAGAATCAACTCCACAAGCTCAAGCTGGGTAATTTACACTATGCACCCTCAAAAAGGGAATAAAAGTTTGCATCCTCAAAAAACAAAAACCACTAAGTCCACCCCTAAAAATATTAAAACCATTCAAAGTCCAACTTCACTTCATTTTCAAAAGATCTGGTGCGGATGGGATGCTTTAGTCCCAATGCTATTTTCTTTCCAAATCCTGCTGTAAACACCATCACACATCCATGTCACACATACTCTGAAAATCATAAATTGTTTATTTTAACTTAAAATAATCTACAAAAGAAAAATACGGAGTATGTGATAAATGAAATAAAATTATGAGAGCTTGATTCTAACCATTATCAGGGATTTCCTGAAATTGAAAATTTCAAAAAAAAAATCCTTTCAAATGCAAAATTTAGTAGAGATGAAGGGCATATGTTTCTGAAATATATTTACACTGAGCAATTCCCATAGGTGTGCTACTCGTTGGGCTTAAAGTTCATCCAAGCATGTTCTTACTTTCATAATCTTGCATTATGACCAGAGAATTTTGAATTTTCGTCAGAAAAAATGAAGAGCTAGGGAGATAGGTGGACTTGGAATGGTTTTAATAGTTTTGGGGGTGGAGTTAGTAATTTTTTTTTGAGGGTGCTAAGTAATTTTTATTCCCTTTTTGAAGGCGCATAGTGCAAATAACCCGATCAAGCTTGTGGTTGTAGTCACATGAAAGATTTTATACGCTTTACAATTCTTAGTTATTGGATTTTCCTTCTCTCAACTTTACATGTCGAATTCCCGACAGGGAGAGTCGGTGAAGGTTGTTATTGCAAGAGAAAGAGTATGGAGATTATGATCAGGAGGATAATTCATTGCTTTTGGGAGGAAAGAGAGGGTTGTACCATATCTGTTGCAGGTTTGTAAACATCCAGCAGGCATGTTTTATAACTCAACTTTTATACGTATTCCCTCCTCTGTTCTGCTACGATTAAAGTCCTAGTTTTCATTTCTGGTTGTCCCACGGTTAAAGTCACACTCCTCCTCTTCCTTCTTAAAGAAGAAAATGTGTCGTTTACGACATTTTTCTCTCGCATTCTAAATAAATATAAACCGCGCGTGTTTCATTTTTCAATACTTGTTATAAACTTTGGGAAGTCAAACTAAGATGTTAGTTTGCGGGATGGGAGGAGTATGAATATATAATGAATAGGGAAATCATTGGGTATTTTTGGAAGAGTTGTACTCTCTCTCCCGTGAAGTTAACTTCGCATTTTCCTTTTCAAGGCGTCTTAGATTAAAGTTGAATATATGGAAATTGAAGTTGGAAGTCTAGAGAATGGTAACGGGAGTATCATTATTATTCAAGTAAAAAACAAGAGTAAATTCCATAAAAGGTCCCCAGTTATATGTCGTTTTACATATTTAGTCCCTATATATATCAAATATTATTAATTTAGTTCCCAATTATTATATTCATTTCCACGAATGGTCCTTTATTAGCATTTCCATTAAGAACGTGGATAAAATTGTAAATTCACACTCCTTTCTCTCCCCAATTAAGTTTCCTCTCTCCACTCGCACACTTTTTCCAAACCTGTCGCTGAGTTTGAAGCTTTGAACCAAAAACCGAAATCATCACTCTTCCCTCAATTGTTTGTCTAACTGGTGGAACCCAAATTCGAAACCAGTAACCTTAATGGATGAGTTTTAATGTTTATTTTCTTTGCAATTTTTGAGACTAACCGATAAAACTCATCCATAAAGCTTATTGGTTTTGATTTTAGGCTCCACTAGGAAGACTGATAATTGAGAGAGGAATGATCATTTCACTTTTGGGTTTAGAGCTTCAAACTCAGCAGTGAGTTTGGGAAAAATTACGAGAGAAGGGAGGAAGCTTAATTGAGAAGAGAGAAGTATGAATATACAATTTTATCCATGTTCTTTACAAAAATGTTAACAAAAGACCATTCGTGAAAAACGATATAATAATTGGGGACTAAATTAATAATATTTGATATGTAAGGACTAAATATGTAAAACGACCTATAACTGGAGACCTTTTATTGAAATTACTCAAAAAACAATCAACCTCATTATTATTGTAAAATGCCGCCTCTGTCTCAAATTAATTTACATAATTTTAGAAGACATAAATTTTAATAAAGTAAAAATTATGTGATTGGTATCTATGCTATTCTGAGAAAAAATTTATGTATCTCGTACTCCCTCCCTCAAGAGTTTTACGCTTTTCAGTATTCTAAAATCACAAAATTTTTTGTTTATTTATGTACTTTCATCGATTATTTAATAAAACAAAAATTCATGTCATTATTGTTTTGTAAATTTTTGATGTAGTTTTTAATCATGCAATTTTTTTAATACTTATCTTTATATAAATTGAATAAAAAATCTTAAAATTTTACTCCTTTGTTTTGTGTAAAGGAACAATCTCTTAGGGATGGAGTGTATTATTTTCCATGTATAAAAACAATATAGTCGTTTCTTGATTTCGGTCTGCTAATGCAGCGAATGAAAGTGCTTTTTTGCTTGTTTGAAAGTAAAGTTAAATTTGGATGAATAGGAAGAAAAGATAACTTAAATTAAGTTAGTATACATAATCCATTATGGAGTATGAGTTTTCTCTGTGCTTATAAGTTGGTTAAAATTATTTATTATTCTCATTGTCCCTTGATTACAATTTGGGAGTTGAGAGGTAAACAAATATTTAATCTTTTAATATTATTTTATTTACAAATTGATACATCAATAAGAAATACAAATTAGGTATAAAAAATTATGTTAAAAATTCTACAAAATGAGAGGTGACAAGAATATTTTATTTTATCAAATATTCAATGAAAGCACACAAATAAATAAAATTTATTGAGAGGAGAAAAAAATTGTAATCTATTTCAAAACGGAGGGAGTACTTTTTTAAATTTAATAGTTATTTGCTGATGTGTTTCTTTGTGCTTATAATTTCATTTATAAGTAAAAAAATAAGTACTCCGTATATCTTACCTTACTTATTTTTTATGGATTTTTTTAATTCTTCGTTTTGACCAGATTATTTATAAAATTATCTCCCACCTTTTTCGAGTATATCCAATCTAATATCTTTCTCATTTAAGTTATTTTACTTGTACAAAAGTTTATTTAACTTATAAAAGTTTATACTCTCTCCGTCCCACTGTTTTTGTCCACTTTCATTTTTACACACCATTCAATGCACTTTTTTAATCCATTTTATCTTGTAATTTGTATATTAAAAAATTATAGAAATTATATATTAATAATCTATATGTTAAGAAAAATCAAACAAGATCACACATGACTATATTTAGGCTTACACATTGAGAGAATTTGATGAGTCAAAGTGCTCAGATGAACAGTTCCAAAAGTTAAAAGTGGACAAATAGAGTGAGACGGATGTAGTAATTCAAAAACTTTTTATCCACAATAAGTCAATAAACATTAAAATAGAGAAACACTCTCATTGTTAGGTGGATCTTTCCAAATGGAGGTCGATGTGTAAGGATGATGCTAGGATGTCAGCAAATATAACCTTATTTTTATAACATGAATGAAGGTGAGAGGTAGAGTTATATTTGGGGGTCATCCAAACTTATGTCAAGTACGAGTTCACAAATATAATTGGAGGGCCCATATGTACTTAACAATTAAGTAAAGATTCCTCAAAAAAACAATTAAGTAAAGAAAAAAAGAGTTCAAAAATTTATTCGAGGAAAAATCAAATATGGTTTTTGGAAATCAAATTTGGCCTAAACTTTAAAAAGTGTCTTTGAACACAATAGTTGAGGTGGCAGAATGGAAAAAAAATTAAAAGTTAATTGTGAGTCAGTATTTTGGATTTATCACTCAGAGTATTATACTCTATTCATTCCAAATTAAATTGTTCGTGTATTACTCATATAATCAAACTTTATTAATTTTATTTTCCCATTTTCGTTATTCATTTGATAAAAAATATAGAAATCATCCTAATGTGGTAATGTGACTTTGCATTGTGGTAATATTTTTTTTCCCGGAATATGACTTTGCATTATGGTAATGTGACTTTGCATTGTGGTAATATTTTTTTTCCCGGAATATGACTTTGCATTATGGTAATGTGACTTTGCATTGTGGTAATGTGGCAGTGTACATGTGCAAATTACTATACTTTTTTGGTAATATATATGACCATGTTTGGTAATGTAAGTCCTATTTCGGGAATAAAAACATGAAAATCCTATTTTGGTATATTTTCAATGTTTTAGTCCTACTTTGGTCTTTCTCCCTAAAAAATATAGTTATGTCACATCTTGTTTCGTAAAACTTTTGATGTAATTTTTAAGCATATTAACTTTATTTTTAACTCTACTCAATTTCTCAAATAAATTGTATTGAAAATAATTACAGTGAAATAGCGCGTAAATCAAAAATTTAAACTAAGACGGGAGAACTCCTTATGTAATAGTGGAAGACTTTGTAAATTTGCAATTATTGGTGTGTTCTTTGTTTTATTTATTTCTCGATCATAATTTTACAATTATTATTAAATTGTATCACGTTTCAACAAATATTAATTGTTAGGTTAATAATAATAATAATAATAATAATAAGGGCCCATTTGAAAAAAACGTCTAACATTATGGTATTGAGTAATTTTTAATTGTGCATATTTTTGGAACAATATAATATATTCCGTTCGATTGAATTTTTGAGATACAACAAAAAAGATCAAATTATTTGTTGCTTTGCAATATAATATGTCCATGTACTTTATTTAATGAAAGTTGTTTTAAGAGGACAACACATGAAAAAATTACTTATGGAAAATGAGTTATCATTAATTAATATTCTGTATTTCATCATCTTAAACATGAATACTAGTAACACTTCATTTCTTCAATATTTTAGATAATCAATGAAATAATAATTAAATTAGTTCGTAATATTTATGTATTGTACGTATTAGTATTATTAACCAAAACTTAATCAACTACGATGAAATAAATACACCCGCAATAAATTATTTTCAATATTTTAAATAAACAATGAAATATTAAATTATTCAAGTATATAGTCAATACATATCATTTTTCTCTGATCCTTTTTGCGTAATGGCTGAAGACCTTTACAACGTGAGAAAGATTGTGATTTTATGAATAGGCATGTCTTTTGTAAAAGTCATAACTATTTATTTAAAATTTTTCGATTTAAATTCAAAATAAATTTCTAAAAATTATGTCATTTAAGAGTGATTATATCTCTTCTAAGGGTTCTGCCCATCCATTTCAAATTAAATTTTGTTTTGAATTTATAATAAATTTCCAACACATATTATTGTTGGGCAATGCTAGGGGCACACTAACATGAGGTACTCCATTTGTACACCATACTAACATAGACATAAAATATCTGTGCAGCACAGACATTTTGTGTTTGTGTGTGTCTGTATTAGCTTGGTGTACAAATGGGGTACCCCATATTGGTGTTCCTCTATTTTAATTCATTACTGTTTTAAAATGGTAACCTAAATTTGACATTTTTTTCAAACGATTAAAACTAAATTGTGACGCTATTGCCAAACGAAACGAAACAATATAGACGTTTGAGCAACGACCATCACTTCGTTATTCCCAGTGTCTTTAAATAAATTTCACATTTTTTTTATTTCAAGATGACTTTTATTTGCTCGTGTATTCTTATCGATTATTTTATAAAATTAATTATTTTATATTTGTACTACTTTGGCGTATTTTTTAAATATATATATATATATATATATATATATATATATATATATATATATATATATATATATATATATATATATATATATATATATATATATCTTTTACACATTTTTAATAAAATTAATTTGATTTCAAAAAAAATAATAAAAAAAGGGATTTTCCCTCATCCATCAACAACATAATTTTACTTTTTTTAGGTTCCACTGTCACTCTTCTAAGTCGTAAGGAAATATATATAATTTTAACTAATCGATTAATTCCTTTTCAAAATTTTTAAAACTGAACACACAACATGTTGTCAAACTTGCACGTTGGCAATAGAGAGATTAAAAGCGCTACCGTACGATCCCTAATTTTGTGTGTGTATGCATGTAATTTAGCATTCAAGGTTTTGAATAATTATTAATAAATACATTAAATTCTACATTAATTTTTAAACAAAGTGTTGGGAGTTCTCTC